ACCAGAAACACCCCATCACATACTGATGGAGTGTGACGCTGTACATCACAAAAGATTGAACATACTGGGAACACACCAGCTGACTGTGGAAGAAATACCACAGCTAGACCCCCTCAAAATCCTCAAATTCCTGAAGGAATTGAACCTCGAGGGGCTGCTATGAACAAGAAATCCTTGATATAGCAGGAGCAGATGGGGCACAATAGATCTAATTGGGTCGCATCGCATCTGTCACCATCCAACCTACCAATACCAATACCAATAGTTTGATTGGAGATTACCTCCCCTACCCCCACACTTCTTCTGATTCTTGACTCATGGCACATCCTGTATAGAACAGCAAAGTTTCTGATGTTTTCTCAAAAACTGATAGCCACCAAGTTTGAATCATTCAATACCTACCTTCCATCCTAATCGCTAGGTACGCAAGATGTACATACTTCGAACATAAAGATGATTGCCATTCGTGCGCCCCGAAAGATGGAAAGTTTGAATCACTCTCTTCCTCAAATTTTTGATTCATTTCCCTCTTGATTCTTCTATGAGGATATGAAGAAAATGCTTCCTTAGTCTTCCATTCGTTTATCACCTCTCTTCAATGTCTGGTTTGTTTTGATTCTCCATCATGTCTCGTTGACTCAGACCTGTACATTATATTATTCTCTCAATTTGGTATGATTCATTTGCCTTCGTTCTATCAAAGTTATATTCATCACTTAGGCTTCCTTTACTTCCTGTCCAATAACAGTTCGGTATAATCACAACATCAGGCCTATCTCCACAAAGGAGTTCGTTGATGATTTGAGCTTCAAGCCAAACTCCTCGTCGACGCCCTATCTTTTGTTCTACGCCAGATTATGATAGTAGAAGATCCGAACCTAAATCGACCTTCACCGAGCTGATAATAGAACGAAATATATTTTATCATGAATTTAGTATATTAGAAAACATATTAAAAATGGGTTGCCTAAAAAAATCCTGGGCAGACTATTTTTAATTATTTTTCGAAAAATTATTTTTAATTAAATGTTGCAACATCAGGATAATAAAAAAATTGTGTCCTGACTGAAAGTATAAAACGTATAGAATGTGCAGCCGTTGGGTTGTCTACTATTTACCTGGGCGAACTACTGGGTTGTCAGGTGAACACAGGTATATCGATGCCAGTTACTTTCACTGGATTGGATAATTTAAAAAAAATTATATCATCATAAGCGCTGTTTAATTGCGAACACGTTGATATAGGGTTGTCTGCGAAAATTCCGGTCCTATTAGGGGTTTGCGAATTTTAAAGATTTTAATTTCAACGCGCGTGGAAGTGTGTGACAGAGAGATCCGAGGTAAGTAAACTGTGTAATAATAATGGACCCAACATCGCAGTCGCTTGTGATGGGACCCTGAATAGTAGAAAGTGCGCATGCTCGGTGTGTAAACTATGGAGGGTAGAGGTACCTCTACTACCCTTCATAAAGTAAACAGTGCGTGTTATTTTGGAGCAACTGATATTTCAGTAGCAAATAAAAAATTAATTAATTACATAATAATTAAATATATTTAATATAATACTAATATATAAAAACAATATAATATCAATATATTGCGTTATAACCATAATGATATATCTATAATCTATAATAGACAATAAAAATATCAAATACTTACTTTGAATTTTTTTTCTCTTTCTGGAAATAGAAACAAAGTGGACCGCCAAAAATTTAAATTAAGAAATAACAAAAAAGATAGACTAGACATCTTGTATTACGATTTGAAATTTTATTAAAAAACAGTATAAATACAAAAATAATATTAATGAAAAATAAATTCTAATAAATATTTTCTATTCAATATCTGATTCATCAGAAGTATCATTTTGACTCTCGAATTCGTCTGATTCATTAGATTCTTCCTCATTTGCTTACCATAGTTTTCAGGATTTGCCTTCGCACACTTCGCACACTTTCTACTATTCAGGGTCCCATCACAAGCGACTGCGATGTTGGGTCCTTTATTATTACACAGTATACTTACCTCGGATCTCTCTGTCACACACTTCCACGCGCGTTGAAATTAAAATCTTTAAAATTCGCAAACCCCTAATAGGACCGGAATTTTCGCAGACAACCCTATATCAACGTGTTCGCAATTAAACAGCGCTTATGATGATATAATTTTTTTTAAATTATCCAATCCAGTGAAAGTAACTGGCATCGATATACCTGTGTTTACCTGACAACCCAGTAGTTCGCCCAGGTAAATAGTAGACAACCCAACGGCTGCACATTCTATACGTTTTATACTTTCAGTCAGGACACAATTTTATTATTATCCTGATGTTGCAACATTTAATTAAAAATAATTTTTCGAAAAATAATTAAAAATATTCTGCCCAGGATTTTTTTAGGCAACCCATTTTTAATATGTTTTCTAATATACTAAATTCATGATAAAATATATTTCGTTCTATTATCAGCTCGGTGAAGGTCGATTTAGGTTCGGATCTTAGACTATGATGTTTTATCTATAATATATTCAATTAATTGAGCTCATTTATATTTCAAATATGAAAGTTCATACAATATACAAACAATCACAACTTGACTCCTTTTTGATAAAAGAATAATTGTGTGCGATGTGCTTTCCACTCTTTTGATATGGACCAACTGCTTTGTTTTTCAGAGTTATTCTTCATTGATACTCAAGCTATAGTTTTTTTCGGAGTATAACTTTGAGCATCATTTATTACTTTTTATACAGTATATACGATGATTTATTTCTTCTAGGGTTATGACACAAGTTCTATCGCAATGGCCTTCATACTGTACCTTCTAGCACACAATCCAACAGTTCAGGTAATGAATTATAATATCAAGCAAGTCGGTATAATATTGAACACGCTGGAAGTCAGAGCTATCTCTGATATAATCGTAATTAGTAGATGATTTTGAAAATTTATCACATCCACATTTGGTTTCTTAGCAAAAAAAGTTCTGAATGGGTGCTTTTATTTGAAATATGAATTTGTGGATTATTTGACAAATATTGATATGATTTGATATTCATGATATTTATGATGTTTTTATGACTTGTACAAATTAGTTATGTTATGTCCTCAACTTCTGCTGTGTTTATATGTATACGCTCTATTCATCTTATTTATTATTATTTGTTTGTTACTACAATCTATTGTATAATAACTTATAGAGTAATGAAAATGATGATGATGATGATGACATCACGAACATCACTCATTTTGTACTCTATAGTTTACAAACTATGATTTACATGAGATATTTATCATATTTGTTGTGTATAAGAGAAGCAACTGATAATCCTGTTACTATTTTGCTGCAGGAGAAAGTTGTACAGGAGCAGATAGACATTTTCGGTAGTCTAACTCCAGATGGACCAATAGACTATGACCATCTCCAACGCATGAGATATTTGGAAACTGTGATAATGGAATCCTTGAGATTGTATCCTTCTGCTCCACTCATTGGAAGGATGTTGAGTGACGACATACATTTAGGTGATTTCTTATTATAGGATACATAATCTTCATTTTTTTGTATGGTCACTAGAAAGGTAAAAGGTCTAAGGCACCATCCCAACGAAAAATTAGTTATAATCATGACTAAAAAGCACTTTTTTTCTGCATCGATCTGTCTAAGTTTTATAGCATTCTGATCATTGAGCTGGCGCTTTAGTTACCGTAAAATCCGTACCTATGATTCGAAATATTTGCTTAAATGACATAGAAATTTACATTTCATTACTATAGTGAAATAAGTCACCTTTAATATTGAATATACTAATATTTTCTATTATTTTGTTGATTAATCCATCTGAAATACATAAATATGTTTTGGAAAGAAAATCCCAAAAAATTTGGAATAATGAATGTACCACCTCCTCGATTAACCTACAGACAGTATGTTTTGCCTGTTAGTCAATTCAAATGATTTAATATTTAGAAGGATTACTGTGCTAACCAATTAAAATAATTTTTTTGATATTGATGTGTTCGTAGGAGATGTGCATGTACCTAGAAGAAATTATCAAATACGCCTTTCACTCGATTTTGTTATGGGGAATTCTGATAAGAATACACTATCGGTATATTCGATTTCAAATTTCTTTGTTTGTTTCATTAGTCATTTTACTCTGGTTACTTGTAACAGAGTATTATGGGTAGGATGTTTCACCCTACTCATAATTGAATTATTGTAGTATATTGTAAGCGACTGTGCTTCATACTAACAAAGTCATTTTACCTTTCAATATTCAAGAACAGTAGGAGTGCCATATGACTCAAGCGCCAATTATCCATTGAACTGTTAGGTTTCCGAGTAAATCATCCCTATAACAATTCTCTGAAATAATCAATATATCTTCTTATAGTCAATTCAAACCTAATAATGATTCACTAGGCAATTCGTTATGATTTTTTTTTGAATTTAACGTTAAGAAAGCTCCCCTGAAAACTTACCAATAGGTCGCTTTAGAACTCTCACCTTTCCAGTGAAGAATTATTACGATTTCTATAAGCAATAAGCCAAAAGATCGGTCACATTTTCACCTTATCCCCCTATTAGCACAATGGACATCTCTCGGACGTCCCGTAGGGACATTCGTGACCATAGGACGTTATTTGAATTTGGTACTGCAGATGTCGATTGCATCAAAAAGGGATGTCCTCATGAGATGTCCCTGGGAAAACTATCGAATACTTGAACCATACAGTATCAAGCACTACGTAGGAAATCCTTATTACAACCCATAGAATCTCCCAGGAACGTACGAATCATTCTTGAATTTGAATTCATTTGGGTCTCCCTAGGACCAGATCTTGCATTACTGATGAGGACATCCAGTTGAGTTGATGGTTCATAGAAGGTCCCCAAAAGGTTTCCAAGAGGTCCCATCAATCGTCTCTTGGACATTCTGTACATGTTCTTGGGACGTCCATTGGACGTTTGTACTCATGACATCTCACGAAATTATAATCCCTGAAGAATATTCTTGTGCTTATCATTCCTTAAATGAACATATATGGATTATCCCTGAGGGACATTCCGAATGTTAAACGATCCTGGAAATATTGAGGGCGTCCGCGCAGATATATTTGAATTATTGTAACGTCTGGGACATTCCGTGGTTGTTCTAGAAGGGACATTATATCAGATTTGAAGTCATGAATATGTGCTACTTGGAACATTCGATGGATGTTCCTAAAGGAATCTTTGAAATTATATCCCATCAAGGACATGCTAAGAGAACGTCCATTCATGGACATTCCACAATTTGTACCATGTGGGATGTCTGAAGGATGCTATTTCTAGGACATTTGAAATAATGTACCAGCTGAAACATTCCATGGACGTCCTTGCTCGGGCATTGCATAAGATGTACGGGATTGGACGTCCCAAGGACAATTATTTTGTGTCTGGGACATTCGAACTAGACTTGTACCAAATAGGAACGTCCCAAGGACGATGCGTGCTATCAGGGCCCAGGAAAATGTTGAACAAAGTTGATTTGTATGATGATCCCCCCTGATCGTAAATATTTCAATAAGTTTATTTGTAGAAGATTATACAAAATAATCCTTACAATTTCAGCATTAAAACTTGAAAACTGAATAGACATAGTAGGTACCATTCCGTTTAATGTTTCATGTGTTTCCAGAAAATGGTATTGTCCTACCAAAATCATGCGTGGTACTTCTTTACATTTATGGATGTCACCATAATCCGAAATATTTTCCGGAACCAGAGAAATTTATCCCGGAACGATTCGAGAAGGATGACATTGAATCTAACACGTATCTTCCTTTCGGTATTGGACAAAGGGTTTGTATAGGTTAGTGAGATAATGTTGTACAATCGTATCTGATTCAATAGCGATATCTATACAGTGTGAATCTCCGAAGTCATCAAAAATTTCAAAATCGCTCGGATAGGTCGATTTCAATCTGACGGAGGACACATTTTTCTATGCTGTTTATATTCCAAAGTTGAGAATTTGAAATCTTCATTTCTTCTATTGACCATACACGATGAGAATTTGAAAACAAAATCTTCTGTAGTAGAGAATTTGCGTTCTCCCTCATATAAAGATATGCACTCACATAACATCATTCTGAATATTCAACAGAAAACAACTACTCTCCTGGTTATATATTTTCCAAATCGAACATTGAATTATAACCGTTGAACATCCAAAAAGAGACCATGGAAAATGAAAATCTTCTGAAATTGAGAATTGACAAAATCTCTCAAATCGGATAAAATAATATGATGTATAATGATATAAAAATATAACTTACCATATGTGAAGTCATAACCTGTTTGTGAGAGATATAATTCCCATATCACTGATACAAAAGGTTTTATTTTGGAGAAATTATGCAAGTATACTTCTCATATACACTTCAGTTTTTATTTCAATAGAGAACAATTTGGTAAGTTATATTTTTATATCATAATACATCATATTATTTTATCCGATTTGAGAGCTGATGTCAATTCTCAATTTCAGAGGATTTTCATTTTTCATGGTCTCTTTTTGGATGTTCAACGGATATAATTCAATGTTCGACGTGGCAAATAGCCATGAGAATAGTTGTTTTCTGTTGAATATTCAGATTGATATTATGTGCAAAGATATGAGGGAGAATGCAAATTCTCTACTTCGGAAGATTTTTTTTTCAAATTCTTATCGTGTATGTTCATTAGATGTAATTCAATGTTCGTCTTGGCATAAAGCCAGGAAAGTAGTTGTTTTCTGTTGAATAAACCGGAAAAGAATTGATATTTTCATCACATAGAGAATGCGAATTCTCAATGTATTCCTTTATACAGTGTGACCCACTTCTAATGGAACCACCCCTGTATCTTACGTAATCGTTGGGTAAGGATCCTGAAATTTGCTGGAGCGAGAGATATACCAGAAATGCACTCTATGACCAAGTGGGGTCATCTTCAGTGATATACACTGCTCGCCAACAGCCATGAAACCACCCCAATTTCCGGAAAATGATATTAGGAGTCAGAATAGGTTGAAAATCACTTCGGATTCGGAATCAGGACGCCCAATTCTCTAACTATTCATAGTTTCCCTAGAAAATTTTCAGTTCAGAAAACTTACATTTTGTCCCACTTCTCATGAAAGCACCCCCGTATCGGCCGTATCTCACGTAATTATTGAGGTAGGGTTCTGAAATTTGCAGGAGGAAGAGAAAGTCCAAAGATAAAGTCAATTACGTGAGATACGGGGGTGCTTCCATAAAAAATGCGACAAAATTTTATTTTTCCGAACTGAACATTTTCCAGAAAAAATTTGAATAGTTAGTGAATTGGGCGTCCTGATTCCAAATCTGAAGTGATTTTTGCCGGAAATTGGGGTAGTTTCATGGCTGTTGGCGAGCAGTGTATATCACTGAAGATGACCCCACTTGGTCATATAGTGCATTTCTGGTATATATCTCTCGTTCCAGCAAACTTCAGGATCCTAACCAAACGATTACGTAAGATACAGGGGTGGTTCCATTAGAAGTGGGTCACACTGTATATACAGGGTGTCCCAAAATCAGCTTGCCAAACTTCACCAGCGGCTTCTTCGACCAAAAATAGAGAGAAAAGTTTCAATGAACATGAGTCCAGAAATGTCTCCTCAGGGATAGCTACGGCTTCCTGAAAGGGGGCTCCTGAAGATGATAATATTTCTTGACTATTTCCGAAACGCCACGAATAGAATGATGCAATTTGGTACAGGAACTTATAACTTTCCATGCCCAATGAGGTGAACATAAAATCATCTCAGATTTCCATTCATATTGCTCAAACTTTTTCGTATGCATATGTTTTAACAATTTTATCTCGGATTATAAAAATCCACACCGTTTCCCAAAAAAAAGGTCCTCTGGTTCCGCATCGATCAGATGTATCATTTTCGTGTGAAATCGATTTAAAAATATTGATGCACTCAGATCTTATGCATACCGTTCCCAATTTTCAAATCATAGGGGCTATAAAAAAGTCGAGTACTTTCTTTTTACCGAACAATCTCATGAAAACGCGAAGAATAGAAAAATGATGATGAAAAAACGACTTCAATTTTTGTGAATTTTTTTCAATTTCACCACGCCTCATTGCAATGGTATAATGGCATAATATCTGAGATGTAACGATATTTTTAAATTGCTTTTACTCGATAACATTAATACATCTTATCGTCACGGAACAAGAGTACCTGTTTTTTTAGAGAGGTGCATTAAAAGTACTGTATCGTCTTCCATATGACACCCCATCAAATCAACTTCATGAAGAAAGAAATACAATTTCTTTGGAAGAGCACTATCTGATAAATACTCTCAAAATTTCTTTTGATATTATCAACAAACACCTCAAATCTAACTTCATATTAGTAAGGAATTCTCAAATCCATGAACATCATACTAGACAATATGACTTGTTTCATCTTGATGCTGCTCATTCTACACTTGGTCAAAAAAAGTTCACTCACGGAGCTATCTCAAAATTCAATAAATTACCTGATGATATCGAAAGTTGCACAAATATCACCCAATTCAAAATCAAAGTCAAGATACATATCCTCTTGCAAAGAGAAAATCAAACCTGAGTGAATGATTTCTCATTGACTTATTTATTTCATCATGTCATAATGTACATTTCATGAGCTTTTTGTTTTATTTATTTTTTTCATATTCTGTTGTTTATTTCAATAACTATAATTTAATTTGATAACGCATGAATAATCTCATACCAGATATAAATCTGTCTGATTATTCATGTTATTACAATGTTAATGATTATATTTATATTTATGTAATGCAATGTAATGTTTATAGCAAAGAATGAAATAAATAAATAAATAAATGAAATTCCATAGTCAGAGATTCAATTGTCGAAAAATATGCATACAAAAAATTTTTGAGTAATATTTAATGTAGTGCCACCCTGTATTATACACTCCTGAATAAAATCTTGAAATGATTTTAGTTTCACTGCATTGGGCATGGAAAGTTTAGTTCTTGTACCAAATTGCATCTATTTATCACATGGAGTTTCGGAAATAGTCAAGAAATATCATCTTCAGGAGCCCTCTTTCAGGGGACCGTAGCTCCCTCAGGAGACATTTCTCGACTCATGTTCATTCAAAGTTTTCTCTTTACTTTTGGTGGTAAAAGCCGCTGGTGAAGTTTGGCAGGCTAATTTTGGGACACCCTGTATATCGATTTTTTTATGTTCATAATTATATCTGAGAATATTCCTTTTTATGATAGATGATGTTGATTGTCTTTATTTCTGAGTACTTATATATCGTTTTATTTTTTAGGGAAAAAGTTCGCCATCTTGGAGACGAAGAGTTGTATTTCAAAAATTGTTCGAAAGTTTAGGTTACTGCCCTCAGTGCCAGACACCAAACCACAATTGATTTTCCAAATGTTGATAGCATCGAAAAATGGAGTCAACATATCATTAGAGAGGAGAAATTCGCAATGTATCTAATCTCTCTTACCTACATCAATATAGTGTTTCAATGACAAGTCCACTCATGCCATGGAAATAAAAAAATTACAGAACACGTCGTAGTATTTATACCTATCTATGAAGAAATGTCTGGTATTGTAATGTCTGCAGGAATTTTTCATGAAAAATCATGTGCTAGTGCAATTTGCGCGAGATGAATCGGGTATATTTTCAAGCATAATATCACGAGATCCCTAATTATTTCTGACTATTCCACCCTTGGTGCATATTTTTTCGTTTACTGAATTTTATCGGACTTGTTCTACCAATACAGAAGCCCAATTGACCCACACGCGACCAATGTTCCTCGTTTTCCAGCGACTATTCCACTCTTGATCTCGAGAACCAATCAGAATCGACCATTTCCACGGTTTCTTCAGTATTCTAGCGATATTTTTTGTTTATCAAATTTTATCGGACTTGCTCTACCAATACAGAAGCCGAATTGACCCACACGTGACCAACAAACCTCGTTTATCAGCGATAAAATGTTGGCATCGTGTCTGGTCAAGATTGCTTTGGATTCAAATCTGGGACAATAACCTAAGTTCCTACTTCATTTTATTCACTTATAATTCGCGTTAATGAGACATTTTGTATGAAAGGCGAGACAATTTTATTCTGGTTGGACGTTTCATGTGTAATTTGAAAAGTTTGCATATTTGTTGACGGTCTGACACAACAATACTAGAATTCAAATTAAAGTAATCTTCTTCAATTACTCAAGTTATTGTTATTGTTACCAGATGATGTAGCGCAACTGATAGGGTTTTTGCGCGAAGATAAGAAGGTCGATGGTTCGAGTCCGGCGACGATATTTTTTTTTTAATTATTTCATAAATTCAATTCATTTTGTTTGAGTTTGAGTTGGAATATGCTTAGATTATGTTTTCTATTTCTTATATATAATGTCTCATTCAATCATGAAATAGTCATACGAATACAACTCGTGATACTATTTTTCCTAGAAATATTCGTTGATTGACATACTCCAGCTTGCTGCTCTAATTTCGCTCATTCACGAAATTACTTGGCAACAAGCTGTCGTAACAATCAATGGCAAAATATTATCACTTGTGGTATTATATATGATAAAAATCTGGACGTTTAAAACCTCAATTATGTTGGAAGCCACAATGATGGATGCAGTGTGCGCAACTCTCGCAAGCCACTCGTTTATTGTCTCAATCATGGAATACTCGTCGCCGATGTCGAGCTCTTTGACTCTCATCAATGCAGGGCAGTCTCCAGCCAGCAGAGTCTAGTCGAATTTACGCCAGTCCGGCAAGTAGCCACTCCCGTATGGGAATTTTGGTTTTAAAGTATTTCTTTCCTTCTTTATCTACTCAGATGGCGTATGCTATCTCATCATATAGTCTATGGAGGACGCCTCTGATGAGGGAATATAATGCCGACTCGATTTTTGTTTGGCTAGGCTACGCTTAGTCGGCGGTCTTAGGACTGCTGGCTGGAGACTGCCCTGCACCGATGAGAGTCAAAGAGCTCGAAAACAGTCTGTAGGTGACTAGCGTGGCCTCGCTAAATCGAAATCAATAGGCATTCTGGAAAGAATAACTTGTATCAGTATTCGTTTATACGAGTCGATGCATAGATTTCGGGAGGATATAATTCAATGTTCTGCGTGGCATTAGCCAGGAAAGTAGTTGTTTTTCTCCCTAAATCTACCATTGTTGTTCATTTTATGAACATTGTGTGAAAAGGATTTTGAGCTTTTTGTATTCATTGACTGTTTTTTATATTAAGCTAAGCATATATTACGTCGTACTCCTTCAGAACTATTCTTTGACGTTTGTAGAAAAAAATTTGTTCGTAACGTGCACGAGTTGCTTGGTTATCTTGACTACTTTTATCACCAATTTAGCATTTCACGCACTAGATACAGATATAACTATTTCATTGAAACAAGGAGGAAAAATTTTGAAATCCCGAGGAAAAAAATATTTTATATTTTGAACGAGAATTTATTATATAAAGATCGGAGAAAATACAAGAGGAAATTCGAAATGTCATATATTTATTCAATAGCTGTGTAATAATTCATGAAATATAAATTTCTAGCACTACAATATAATGATGACAGCAATAGCTGCAAACGCACTTAAATAGTTGAAACCCAATAAAATACAAATAAATAATTTTTGGATCAATATATTTCATTCTTCGACGGATACTCATTATAAGTTAGTATATACTTTGGGCAAAAATATGTTGTTTCTTAAATCTATTAAATAATAAACTCCAACCAAAAAATATATAACAATAAAAGCTCTTTATTACATTCGAGTTTGAACTAAGAGAAAATGTTGAGCTTACAGTCTACGGCAATAAAGAGCATTTACCTAAAATAAAATCTGTACACTTCAAGCTTAAGTAAATAAATAAATATCTGAGCACTTGCAAACAAGTACGTAATAAATTAGGACAAAATAAAATAATCTATTCATTCTCCAAATGAAAAAATCGGGAAATACGAAGCAGAAAATTAAAAATTTCAACCAGCTATATAAATTATGCTGGATACTGTAGTCCAACCATATTAGGACAAATTATTGAATTTGGCTGGAATCATTGTTGATTTTTCCAAGATATGTGTACTTATATCAATTTCATGGCAAACAAACTCTCAGCTAAAATCTCCAGTTGGTGGTATATTATTGTAGATATTCCAAAGCTCATCGTGTTTCCAGCTGGTAATGACTACTAGACGAATTCAATAACAATTCTAACGTTTGAACTATCAATTTCGATTGAAACTTTCTCGGTATCGGCGATTCCGCCCATATGATAATCCTTATAGATGACTTAAAACACTAACACTGATATGTGAAAACGCGTTAAAAATCAAAATAAGAAAGGTATTCGTATGACGAACGGATGATTAAGTTAAGGCGTTAGGATATGATACAGACAACCCTAATATGGCTTATAATATCACCGCGAGTACGTTTGGTGTGAATTTCTGAAGAAAAAAAACTTGTTAGAGATCGGATTCTCCGTACAGAGCTGTCGAGAAGGACATGTAGTCCAGGGCTCCAGGAACTCCATTGGGGCCTTTGAAGGGAGGCATGCGCTGGATACAGTATTCCGCTTGGTCAGGGGGCAGTTCTCGTCTCAGTTCGTCAGGTAAGATGTAAGGCTGAAAAAAAATTTCATTAGGACCAGTTGACTTCATACTTGAATGTATATATATGTCGGCGTCAAACAGTGAAATCCGTCATTCTCTGGAATGCCTACTCATTTCACGTATTGCTGGCAACAGCGTAACTCTAAAGGACCCGCACCGCTCTTATGGGTTTTTGGGTCCCAGTCAAATCGGCTGGAATTATAGTATGTTGTAGTTTGTGATATCCTGATCAAAAGCTCTCATGGGCCTTACTCAAGTATAGTACCTCAAATCTGATAAAGTTCGCCAAGGTGATATACATGTTGAATTGTTATATTATGGTCAAAAAACATAAACAAAAACTTGAAGTGACCATTTCTGGTTTCGACAATCCATCTTGTTTTTGTTACCAAACGCGTTTCATTTGCATCTTCTGTAGTAAGTTGCCGATGTCCACGTTGTTACGCTGTTACGCTGTTTGCCGAAAATACGTGAAATGACTAGGTATTTCACGCCGACATATAGATAGGGATCTATTTCAATAACACGCTGAAAAATCGTAGATTGTTAGAAAAGGCACAACCGGAATCTTGTTACACTGACGATTTTTCATAGTCATCATAGTTATGGTTATCGTCACAATTTTTTCATGTTACAACAGATAATTTCAATCTGGTTGTGACAACGTTTTTTTTTTTTTGATGTGGCATTCATAGTCGCTGTTAGGTAATGACGACTATTATACAGGGTGGTCGGTTTTTTAATACGGAAAATTCAACAGCGTATAGTACTAGTTGAAATAATAAATAATCTTCCTATGAATATATACTTTTAAACGCTTCGTTTTCGAGATATAGGGTGTTCAAGTTTCTTTAAAAAATCGATTATATATTGATTTCTCAGAAATGCAATTATAGATTGTGAAATTCACATCAAATATCAATGAGCGTACATTTCAAAATACAATTTTTTTTTGCCCTCTTGGATTTCTAATCTAATAGCTTCGTTTCAGAAAGAAAAATAAAAACCAAACCTATGCATGTCTCTAAACCAAATGAAAGAAACATTGTACTGCATTAAATCTAGTTAGCATTGGCCGTTCACCAGATCAATCATGTAACCATTGCAAATCAATCATTTACGTATTAGAATAGCCGCAACAGGCCATAGACCGCAGTGGATATCCTGCTATTTGTCTTCAATGTTGCCGAGCTAGTACATTTTCACTAGTTAGTTTATGAGATATAAGGTGTCAAAAATACGCTTCAGAATAAATATAATTTTTTAATCAAAAGTTAGAAACGGTTCAAGATGAATTAACGAAATTTTTCACAGATACAAAACTTTTTGAGCTTTATTAGATTAAATAGGAACAATAAAATTTTTAAAGAATAAAATTAGGTAAATATCAATAGAAAACAAAGGAATCCATTAAAGGAATTGCTCAAATTGCTGTCTGCCAAACTCTATGCATTTTCTGCAACGTCTTATCATAGAATTAACTGCACTAGGTATTGGGTTTAATTTCATTTGGGAAGCGATTTCTGTACTCCCGAACTGCTGCCTCTGCGTTTCATTACAAAATCCGTAAACGAAATGAATATCTGCATACTCTTCAGTACTCAACCCCATAGGCATATTGACAAACGGCAAAATTGGAATAAAATTATCACACTTTTTGATAAAAACATGAATAAATAACTCCAGTTTGTTATTTCTTCGACAGAACTTTCAGAGTGACAGCACATAATATATCAAGTAGTATTATTTAACTAAAAAATGTTATTAAATCTTACAAGCGAGCTTTTTTCATTGAAACTTGAGAAATAAATGAAAAATAATTACCCGAAGAATTTGTGTAATTATTACCTTCGCCACCCCAGATTCAGCTGCCACTGAATGGTTTTTATGTATAATCTTTATTTATTCTAATGAAGCTCAAAAAGTTCAGTATCTGTGAAAAATTTCGTTAATTCATCTACCGTTTATAACTTTTGATTGAAAAAATACAATATTCAGAAGCGTATTTTTGACACCCAATATCTTAAAAACGAAGCGTTTGAAAGGAAGTTTTTTCATTATTTCAACGAATACTATACGCTGTTGAATTTTCCTTATTAAAAAACGGACCACCCTGTATGATGTTTACTAGATGCGAGAAACCCCTCCACCACTGCTTCCTGAAGATGAAGAACTAGTACTACTACTACTCCTTAATATTGAGAAAATAGTGAAAAAAGCATTAAACAGTTGAATAAACAAAAATATATCATTATTATGAGTCAACGCTACAATAGACAGAATCGAAAACTAAATGAAATGAGCATTCGCCAAAAATAGTCCTAGGACGGTTCATGCTTGAGAGCAGGTACTGGTTTCGGATAGTTCTGAAACAACCCGAACGCGTAAAGAGTCAGTTCTAGAACAGTTCCAAAAAACGCGACCGACTCTACTGCGCAAACTCCTGACAGTTCTAGAACCGTAATAGTTCGAACCCAAGAAGTACCTCTCATTTTGGTCGGCGTTGCCAAAGCTCGCTCGATTGAGCGAGATCTCCGTCGTTTTGTTACCAATTCACTCTCTCGCTCCTCTTTGTCGAATCTCGCTCGTTTTCTCCTCTACTAGTGGTTCACACAAATTAGACGCAAAATGGGATAACTGAGTATATATTTTTTCGAAGTTCAGCTATTTTAGCATAGATATGCCCAGACAGCACTGGATATCCATAGAATATTCTCTAAATATGCTAAAAAGGAGGAGTATATTCCGAATATTCATCGATTATTCCTAGAATATATACATGCCTCTGGAACATCTAAAAGGAATATTCCAAAGTGAATAGTCGGACATGTTCAGGGAATATTCATGTATGAATCTTCCAGGAATATTCCCAACTGAATATTCTCCGTTGTATATTCATGAAATATACCCAACTGAATATTCTGTGCAGTATATTCATGAAATATACCCAACTGAATATTCTGTGCGGTATATTCATGAAATATTCTCAACTGAATATTCTGTGGTGTATATTCATGAAATATTCCATGAATATTCCTAAGTTTCTCAACAAATAAATACCATTTATTATTTCAGAGATGTGAGTATCGAACATCAATTAGATGTAAGGGGATTTTGAAACAAAAAATGTTTATGATCCGATTTCGAACAATGCTCCCACAAGAACTTGATAGGTATAACATTATTCAATTCGGTTACTGGCCTAGTGGTCAAGGCGTTGCTCTGATAGTCTTGAGGTCACGAGTTCGATCCCTACTTGGGTCACTTTTTTTATTTCAGAATATGTTTATTGGAATATTCCAGGAACATTCAACATAGAATATTCTTTTAGGTATATTCTATGATTATCTGAGGAATTCCCATTCGCATATTTAGAGAATATTCCACGAATATTCTAGAATATTCCAGATTATTCCTAGGATATTCCAATATTCCACAAGGAATATGATAGGGAGATTCATAGAATATCTGGTGCTGTCTGGGTGGCCTAACACAAGCAATGAATTTAATGTTTCTACCATTCTACCAACTAAACATTCGACCGGATAGCCTTATTGGAAACTGAGGAACCTCAAAAAATCATAATTAAGATGCCTAGGATCGGTTCGAGGGGGTTGCCACAACTGATTTTAACGTACGAATTATTGCCATTTCCCAGTATTTCCTAATATTGCCCAATTTCCTGGCATTTTCTCATATTTCCAATTATTGCCCCGCATTTCCCGTAATTTTCCTGCATTTCCCAGTATTGCCTCGAACTTCCAGAAATTTCCTCGTATTGCCTCGCATTTCCCGTATTTCCTAGAATTTTCTCGTATTGCCCCGCACTTCTCAGTATTGCCCCGTATTTCCCGGTAGTGCCTCGTATTTCCAGAAATTTCTCCGTATTGCCTCGTATATCCCAAATTACCTTGTATTGCCCCGTATTTCCCAGTATCGCCTTGTATTTCCCTGCATTTCCCTGTATGGCCTTAATTTCCTGACATTTTTCATTGGTTACACAATCGTTTTTATATTGTCAGGCATTCTCTAATATTTCACTACAATAATATTGTTTTACGACAATAGGTACTATGAAAAAATATACAATCGAAAAAAATATGTATTCTTATAAATATTCAACAAAAAAACAAACATAATATGAATCACAGTAGGAAAATATCACCACAGTTTGAGTGGAGAACCTATGAATGACTTAAGATACATCAACAAAAAAACTAGAAAAATATCTATTCCTAATGACTATAATCACTGGAATGAATATCAACAAAGAAAACAAAACATGGGTCATTCAATGAAAAATATATCAAATTCCAAACTAAAATTAACTACTCCCCTTTCTTTTTCAAATCTTTATATATTTTTTTAATATGATTTCGATCATATCTTGTGATCTGTAGTGGGTCACAGCCAAGCATATTTATTGGTCCATAAAATATTTGTTCTTTGTGGACACAATCTACGTCGTCTGATTTAGGCTAGTAAAAATTATTCAGGTCTTCTTTCAGAAATTTGAGAGTACACATTTCATTTTCTTTGTATTCTAAAACTCTGCCAATATACCATCTTTGTTCATAAAACACACTATAGTACTTTTCAACATCAATTTGAGAAACAAATTCATACGCGCAATAGGGTGTCGAGTAGGGAGTTCTCAGAATTGCGTCAAGCCATCGTCTAGCGCTAGGGTCTCGTCTAGCGTCCACCCGGTTGTGAAAGCCTAATGCATGTCATGAGTAGTGTATAGAGTCGATATTTCATTTATGTCTTTTCTACATGTCGATGCGATTGTATATTAACTCTATAAAAAACTAATTACGTAGATTGTTTTTCAAATTTAATGCCGAATGTCTCAATTTTTCAACCGCTTTGCTAAATATTGCCCGGCATTTCCAGATATTTCCTTGCATTTCCCGTATTTCCTGGCATTGCCTCGTATTTCCCGACATTTCCCGCATTGCCCCACATTGCCAAATATTTCCCCGAATTTCCCAGTATTGCCCCGCATTTCCCGGTATTGCCTCGTATTTCCCAGTATTGCCTCGTATTTCCCGTATTTCCCGTATTTCCAGTATTTCCGGTATTTATTTTTATTGCCCCGCATTTCCCAGTATTGCCCCGTATTTCCCTGTATTGCCTCGCATTTCCAGACATTTCCTCGTATTGCCTCATATTTCCCACATTTCCTAAAATTTCCTCGCATTGCCCCGTATTTCCTCTCAAGTGTACGACAATTTCCCCAGTGACAACCCCCTCGGATCGGTTACATGATTCTCTTCGTTAACTCAACGAAAGATCAACTGTTTGTAACTCTTCAATCAGCTATGACATGCTTTGTCATGGATATAAAATAAACAAATGAAATATTGAATCATATCAAAATTCTTCCAAAGCAATACAACAAAGATACTGTTCTATAATTCAATGAAAAGTTGAGCTATTATCTGATAGATGGAAGCAGTTTGAAGAATATAGAAAAACAAGTGGAAAAAAAGATTATTTTCATTATTATATTCATTCATGTACCTAGGTATAGAGTAATGTTTTGTGAGTTAATGTAGGGTTTTTCCCGAGGTTTTTCCATTCATGTATTTCATCAACAACCAAATCACGCTCTTTGAGTTGATATCTCGCTCGTTATTGACAGAATAGCTCGCTCAAAAACACATATGCCTGTGGCAACAGTGTTTTGGTCCCATTTTTGTTGAGATATCGTATTGGCGATGCGCCATATGAAGGAATAGTAGATATTATATGGCTATTTCTAATGCTGGCAGACTCTTTACTCACTGTAATGAACGGGTATCTTAGACAAAATTATGTGAATTTCTGAATTCTTTTGAACTAAGTACAGTGAACAATAATTGTCTTAAATAAGAATAACTTTTATCATGCGTCTACTAGGCAATATTATTACGTGAACGGACGAATGTTTATTTTGAATTGAGTGCAGCATCATTAGCATTAATAAATGTATAGAATAAGTAGGTACGTTACCTTTGTAAAACGAATTCACTGGTCACTTAAGAACGAAGCAGGTTGATATCACAGGACCGAATTGAGAGACAAAAATGACGTTGATTAGAATTTGCAGAGAATTTATGAGTTCAGTAAAGAGGGACTGACTTTAATCTGATTGGCTCGAAAGATCAATGAATTATTATTTAGCCCAAATACGTAAAGGAAAGAGCATGTAATTGTCAATTTTGTTAATATTCCTGAAGTGAATTATTATCATAACATTAGAGAGTTACATCGGAATCATCTCACTTGTGCAAATTGGAGTCAAGACAAATTAATGAGAATCATAAACCACATTGAATTATTGCTTGAAAAAGGGTAAACGGAAAACTATAGTAAGTGACAGTTTTATTAACATCAAGAGTATGAGTTGAAGCTTTAAATTATTTATCGTCATAACAATTCAGAACTACAACGAAATCTTTTTAGTTTCGCAAATCAATCCTAACATCTGTAATTTATCGCTCAAAAATCTACGAAAACTCTTGCCTAATATAAACACAACATGGAGCTTGTCTTATATTTAATTGATTTTCCCAAAATTTATTGCTAAATTCTGTTTAAAAGCAGATACAATCCGAATGAGAGAAGACAGTCTGAAGTTATTCTTGAAGCAGTCTTGATCAGTCTCCAATACGATGTCTCGATCTCCGTTGTGTTAGTTGAATGTTTTGTTAGTGAGCCTCGGGAGTGATTGAATTTCAATCATTGAATCTATTGAGCAGAATGTAAAATGTTGAGTCTTAAACGTGACTCAATACAAAACGTATCCAGCCGACTTTGTATCTGTCTATCAAACATGCTACGTTCGAACAGTACCAGTGAACTTCGTTAATAATACCTGTAGTAGACAACAAAGTGCCCACGGGATAGCACGATAGGATCCCGTTTAAACTCTACTACTGTGTAAGTAACCACTCAGGTAGATTTATTGTAAACTGCAACTTTTGTGACTAAGACGTAAAAGTGAAGTGAATCTCTCGCCAATTGAAAAACGAGTGAACAGTGTAACAAAAATGTGCAATCTAAAATGTAAGCAAACTTTGATTTTGTTGCCTGTAACCTCTGCCTGACCATACTGCCTGAATATATGTCTCAGTAACTATCTATATGTTGTCTTAATGTCTACAATCTCAGCCTGCCTCCTGTCTCAATAATCACGAACCCATTGATCGAAAAAAAAAATTACTTTGTAACGACCCCCTGTAGTAGGCCAACGAACGAAGAAAGTTGGGGGCATTACACTCACCTTGTCGGCGGCCAGAATACGGAAGCTGTCGATCACTTGCTCGGCCGTGTCCGTGTCGGTGCTCTCCCTGGTCATGAAGTCCAGGAAGGCGTCGAAGTGCACGTAGCCAGTACTGTTCGGGTCGACGACGGCCAGGATGCGCTGGAAGTCGATGTCGCCCTGCCGATCCTTGCCGATCGAGTAGCCCAGAGAGACCAGGCAGGACTTGAACTCCTCGGGGGTGAGGCGGCCCGTCCTGTTCTTGTCGAAGTGGTTGAACGACGACCTGACCAAAATTCATTGAATTTATTATATAATCAACTAGCAGACCTCGGAAACGTTGTTTTGCTATACCGGGTGTTTCATAATTGAATGTCAATATTCGAGAAGGCGATTCTTGGGCCCATTCTAAGAACGTATTATTAACGTATGACCTAAACGTCCTAACTTTTGAAATACAGGGTGGTAAAGTTCTCAAAAATTAATATAGCCTACTACAATCAAGTTATAATTCCAAAATACCAAATACGAATACGAAGTTCATAAACTATGAATTGTATTTCTGAAATGTTATCTAAAAAATGAAATCTCTTTCTCTACTTTGTGATGTCATGTTAACAATATTGCCATTATCATGTAGTAAACATTTTATTTTTTAGGCGAAAACCGTGCATCAGATTGAAAAAATTGTGGTGATCAAATTTGCTTAGAAATGATTGGGAATTTCAGGGATGATTTCAATTTCGAGATGAATCAGTGGCGTACTATCAATGTCTGCCAAAATAGGTATATGAAATTCCATACGAACGCCACTGGTGGCAACCAAACAAAATGTAGTACACTAACTGATGCCTCTTGATACATAGTACATGTATGCCAAATTTCATTGAAAATTCTGAAGTGGTATTACAGATATTGATATAAAACTATTAATTTTTGAGAACTTCAACACCCTGTATCTCAAAAGTTAGAACGTTTAGGTCATACGTTCATATGAAACTTTCTTCTTAGAATGGGTCCAAGAATCGCCTCCCCAAATATTGACATCCAATTATGAAACACCCTGTATACATCATTTCTATAATACAGTTTTTCAGTTCAATATTCATCAAGACACTATTATTATTTCATGTTGTACTTCTTTTTAGTTCTGCTATCTATAAAAGCGTGTTTCTATAGTTTTTTGAACTACCGTTTACTTCAACTTCTTTTTAGTTCAGTCAAATCGATTTAGTAGTTTCGGAGCCTATTCAATACATACAAACAAACAAACAAACAATCAAATCTTTTCTCTTTATGATATTCGTATAGATTGACGTTGCTAGAAATTGAAGGTTCTCTGCCAATTTCTTACAAGTCAATGGTGAAAAAACGCAAAACCTGACTATTTCCAGCAAAACCCAATATACATCAGGTGCTCACTGCAAACTTCTTGGGATATGACTCTCCAAACTGTCAATATCATACACAAAAACTGAACAGTGGGCTCTCCGGTATACAATTCCTTATAAAATGATTGCGATCTGTTGTGAGTCCTGAAGTATTGAGAAAAATATATTTCAGATTATTTCACTCCCGCATCAGCTATGGCACCATTTTATGGTGCCATAGCTGCACTCAACCAATGCCATAAGTATTTTCAAAACTCAATCCCATAATTTCGTTACTTGGCGTTTCTCTTCACGTGGGTTCATATGAACCTTAATGCCGTTTTTCATCTCAAATTTTGACTTCCACTTCTAGATAGGATTAATCAATCAATTAATCAATTGATTAACATAGATATTGGAATTATGTCATCAGAATTTGAGGATTACCGAAATCGTTCAGTTCGATTGTATAAACATCGGTATAAACGTATACTTTTCAGGCTTATATCGAATTTTGTCGCTGCTGATTGAACCTACAACGTGCTATAGTTTATGCAAAGTCAATTGAACAGAATTTCGGGCCGCGCTGCCACAGTCTTTGAACTTTTAAAGGGACCGACGGCTTGCGGTCATGTGTCTTTCCAACTGAGTTTGCATAAACTTTACAACCTACTCGATTAGTAAACATCATGACAGTATTTGTTAATATTGTCGGAATTACTATTTCGGACGATTTTGTCTTCATTCAACACTGCGTAAACAGAATATACATCTTTGATGATAATGATGATGATGCTTCTTACCTGAACTCATTGAGTTGTTCTTGAGTGATGCCCTTCGAGTCGCGAGTAAGGATCTGGTTCTCGACTTCGTTGATGTTGCGGTTGATCGAGGTCAACAGTTGTTCCCATCCGACTCTGAGAGTTTCCATAGTGTATTGTGTGTATCTGAAAAAATGGTTTCATCAAATATCGATATTGTGTCCTCACATAATATACAATTCCATACTGAACCTTGCTTTCATAACTTGTCATGTAATGAAGCTTTTTTCTTACTCCAAGAAATAATCTATTTCTACGGCTGTAACACAAAATTGCTCTTATTTTACTGTGTTCGATACGTCGATGAGGTACTTTGTATGTCATCAATATTATTTCCGAATCTGATATCACAATGACTCCATTGTGTCATTATTTGAAAAAAAAACTCATCGCCCATGGAATGTCAAATGTGAAGCAATGACAGCTCTAACTCGCATGAAATGCTAATTTCCCACAATATACTATTGTATACTCTGATCTACTGCATCGTGGACAATACATCTAACAAAAATTGCCTCAAGCTATCGAATGATTTCTCCCATGATAAATGGTTTTTGGAAAAAATGAAAAATCATCGATAATCATTTCTGTCTGAGGTGGTTATAAAATTGGGAATGATTAAATGAAAATGTCTCTCTAGCTCTGATATCCCTAACTGAGATGATTTTCGTGATGTTATTATACCAGTAATCACCTTTCCTCCTCACTGTCAGCATGAAATAAAAACAATGGATTTAGCACAAGTTTTGCGCCTGAAACATTACTGGATCGTTGTGGTTCTGAATGAAAACCTAGTTAGTAGGCAAGAGGTATAATATTGTCTGTTCAGTGACAGAAAAATTTCAAAAATCGCCCTAGTTGATAACATTTTCAGTAAGCTGGTATTTCGAACTCATTCAATCATTTATCCTCACCTTAGATTTTTCTCGTATTTCTGTCAGGTTCTTCTTATACACACACGCAAACTGATGTTAACAAAACAATCATTGACCGAAAATTTCCATCGTGAATCTAGTCTTCAAACTTTTTGTCCACCGTAACCAGTAAAATTTTGGAAGTGGTCTATGAGTAAAGAAGTTTGAGAATCTCTGATTTAGAGCGTTACAACGACAACTACCGGCCACCAACCTGTTCTCGAAGATCATGCTCTTCTGCACCGCCTGGTGGATCTTCTCCAACTGTCACAATTAAAACACTACTTCTTATACAAAACACACGCAAACTGATGTTAACAAAACAATCAATGTCCAAAAATGTCCATCGTTGAATCTAGTCCTCAAAGTTCTTGTCTACCGAAACCAGCAAAATTTTGGAAGTGGTCTATGTAGAAATAAAGAAGTTTCAGAACCTCTGATTTAGAGCGTTAAAACGGACACTAGCGGCCACCAACCTGTTCTCGAAGATCATGCTCTCCTGCACCACCTGGTGGATCTTCTCCAACTCTCACATTAAAGCACAACGTCTCCTTATACAAAACACACGCAAACACACTGCCATCGTTTAATCTTGTCATCAAAATTATTGTCCACCGAAACCAGCAAGATTATGAAAGTGGTTTATGAGTAAAGAAGTTTGAGAACCTCTGATTTAGAGCGTTGAAACGATAACTACAGGCCACCAACCTGTTCTCGAAGATCATGCTCTCCTGCACCTCCTGGTGGATCTTCTCCAACTCTCACAATCAAAACACAACTACTTCTTATATAAAACACACGCAAACACACTGCCATCGTTAAATCTTGTCTTCAAAATTATTGTCCACCGAAACCAGCAAGATTTTGGAAGTGGTCTATGAGTGAAGAATTTTGAGAACCTTTTGGAAGTTGATTATGAGTAAAAGAGATCGAGAACCTCTGATTTAGAACGTTGAAACGACAACTGCCGGCCACCAAACTGTTCTCGAAGATCATGCTCTCCTGCACCGCCTGGTGGATCTTCTCCAACTCTCACATCAAAGCACAGTTTCTCCTTATACAAAACACACGCAAACACAATTCCATCGTTAGATCTAGTCTTCAAAATTATTGTCCACCGAAACCAGCAAGTTTATGGAAGTGGTTAATGAGTAAAGAAGTTTGAGAACCTCTGATTTAGAGCGTTAAAACGACAACTAGCGGCCACCAACCTGTTCTCGAAGATCATGCTCTCCTGCTCCGCCTGGTAGATCTTTTGCTTCAACTCTCACAATTGAAACACAACTACTTCTTATTCAAAACACACGCAAACACACTTCCGTTCACCGAAACCAGCAAAATTTTGGAAGTGGTCTATGAGTGAAGAAGTTTGAGAACCTCTGATTTAGAGCGTTAAAACAACACAACGATCGTCCACCAACCTGTTCTCGAAGATCATGCTCTCCTGCACCGCCTGGTGGATTTTCTACAATTCTCACAATCAAAACAGTACTACTTTTTATACAAAAGAGAACTAATGAGAACCTCAGCAGCAAATTTTTGAAAGTGGTCTATGGGTAAACAAGTTTGAGAACCTCTGATTTGGAGCGTTAAAACGACACAACAACCGCCCACCAACCTGTTCTCGAAGATCATGCTCTCCTGCACCGCCTGGTGGATCTTCTCCAACTTTCACATTAAAGCACAACTTCTCCTTATACAAAACACACGCAAACACACTTCCATCGTTAGATCTAGTCTTCAAAATTATTGTCCACCGAAACCAGCAAGTTTATGGAAGTGGTTAATGAGTGAAGAAGTTTGAGAACCTCTGATTTAGAGCGTTAAAACGACAACTAGCGGCCACCAACCTGTTCTCGAAGATCATGCTCTCCTGCACCGCCTGGTAGATCTTTTGCTCCAACTCTCACAATTGAAACACAACTACTTCTTATACAAAACACACGCAAACACACTTCCGTTTACCGAAACCAGCAAAATTTTGGAAGTGGTCTATGAGTGAAGGAGTTTAAGAACCTCTGATTTAGAGCGTTAAAACGACACAACGACCGCCCACCAACCTGTTCTTGAAGATCATGATCTCCTGCACCGCCTGGTAGATCTTTTGCTCCAACTCTCACAATTGAAACACAACTACTTCTTATACAAAACACACGCAAACACACTTCCGTTTACCGAAACCAGCAAAATTTTGGAAGTGGTCTATGAATGAAGGAGTTTAAGAACCTCTGATTTAGAGCGTTAAAACGACACAACGACCGCCCACCAACCTGTTCTCGAAGATCATGCTCTCCTGCACCGCCTGGTGGATTTTCTCCAATTCTCACAATCAAAACAGTACTACTCCCTATACAAAACACACGCAAACATACTTCCATCGTTCCAATTATTGTCTACCGGAACCAGCAAAATTCTGGAAGTAGTTTATGAGTAAATGAGTTTGAGAACCAATGAGAACCTCTGATTTAGAGCGTTGAATCGACAACTAGCGGCCACCAACCTGTTCTCGAAGATCATGCTCTCCTGCACCGCCTGGTAGATCTTCTAGTCTAACTCTCACAATATTAAAACACATCTACTTCTTATACAAAACACACGCAAACATACTTCCGTCCACCGAAACCAGCAAAATTTTGGAAGTGGTCTATGGGTAAATAAGTTTGAGAACCTCTGATTTGGAGCGTTAAAACGACACAACAACCGCCCGGCGCCCACCAACCTGTTCTCGAAGATCATGCTCTCCTGCACCGCCTGGTGGATCTTCTCCAGCTCTTCGATATGCGGCTTATAGGCGTACACGCCTTGCTCGTACTCCTTGAGCCGGTGCAGCTGGTCCTCGAGCGTGCCGTGCAGCCCCATGCCGATGGCAGTGACGGCGTCCAACTGGCGCTCGATCCACGGCCCCACCGCGTTGGCCTTCTCGGCGAATTGCCGTCTGAGCATCTCGTTGTCTGGCCGGATGCGGTTAAGGAGCATAGACACGATGGAATGGGGAACCCTAACAACACAGGGACATCCTAGGTACGTCCCTTTTATGTCCCAACGTGTACTGTTGGTACAATGACATGATTGGGACATCCCTAGGATGTCCTGCTCAGTATTTCCAGGGGATGTCCCGACTAGGACATCCCTGAGTTGTCCCATTCATGTCCCTGATGTATATCTTGAAATCTATTTGCTATTTGTATCAGAATTGATATGTTACAACAAAATATTGAAAATGCATATTTGTGATCTCACTGGGAAAATCCAGTCTTTATATTTTCTATACCCATCCAATTCAGTACAGTACATTCAGCTCAATTTTATAACTTTTGAAATTTATTGATTAGATATTTACTGATGAGAGGTGCGCAGTAGTGCGCACTCCGTGTATATAATTGTCTCTCTGCTATATATGCGTCAAACGAGGACAGATACCCTAATAACAACACAGGGATTTCCTAGGTACGTCCCTTTTTTGTCCCGCGGTACAAGGACATGATTGGGACATCCAGGGGATGTCCTGCAGTGGTTGTCCAGTGGACATCCCGCCCGGTACATCCCTAGGTTATCCTATTCGTGTCCCTGGAGTATCTGATATCCATTCACATCAGAGTCATTGAATTTCATCAAACTATTGAGTTGAATTTTTTGAAAATGTTTGTTTCTCTTCCGGAAAATGATTGTAATGAAAATGAAGAATAAAGTCTCAGAACTTCTAGAGAAATTACCATTTTTCGCAGACAGAAATCGTACATGCATAATGCCCCTCATTTTTAAACACCCAATAATGATAATAATTATACCCAATTCCTAATAAAGTTGTATTTATTCAGGTTTCTGTAGTTAAGTCCTGTTTATAAATCTGTTTAGTACATAAATCTTCAGGAGGCATGATAGCCAATGGAGCAAGGTGCGTGCATGATAAGCCAAAGTTCCCGGGTTCAATCCCTACTCGACCTGCAACTTTTTTTCTTTTGTCGAAAGGATGTCCCTGGGATATCCTTGGGGCGTCCTAGGGATATCCCTTCATCGTACTTGGTACATCCCAGGGACGTACCAGAAGGACGTCCCTTGGATGCCTTTTTAGCGGCCAGCGGATGTCCCTGGGACATCCCTAGTATGTACGTTGTCCCGACAAAGGACATCCCTGGGATGTCCTAGTATAAAATCAGGGACGTCCATGGGAAGTCCTTAGGATGTACTGGTGTTGTTAGGAAAGGTTCCTTTATTGGGATTTTTATTTCTCCGTGTAGTTTATAAACAATTATTAGTACAAGGTTGGTCAAGAATGTGTGCCTAGCTTCCTGGTGGTGATAGAACATTGAAAAATAAGTAATAATAATAATAAATAATCAATAAATTTCATTTCAAGGAATACTACAATACAGGGTGATTCATAAGTAAGCGGCATCCTTTCAAGGGCGTATTCCTTGCATGAAATTGAGGCAAGAAGTTCCTATTAATAGGAGTCCGAAAATGCTATCTGATGGAGCTACGCCTCTTTGAATAGAACACCACAAAAACGATTTTCTCTCTTCAACTTTGCGGTTGCAAATTTGCAGTTGAAAGGTAAAATTTATGATTGCTGATGACACAACCATAATCTATTCAGCAGGCTCAGCACAACAAATTAGGGATGAAATTTCAAGTGATTTGAAAATATTATTTTTATGGTTATCATGTTATAAATTGAGTATAAATTATAGTAAATCAGCATTTATGATCATTTCAAAAAAATCAAGATATAATGAGTACAAATTTCCAATTGCATGTAATAATGAAGTCATCAAATATTCAAATTATATCAAGTTTCTTGGGCTGTACATATATAAACATTTGTCATGGTCAAAACATATTGAAATGGTTAAAAAAATATATCTCCAATACTAGGTATACTTTTTTGGGTACGGAATCAGATTCCTATAAAATGTCTCAAATCTATATGCTTCTCTGTATTTGGATGCCGCTTACTTTTGCATAACTCTGTATATAAAAGTGATCACATTAAGTAGGATTGAATGAAATAATCGTCAACAAAAGAATATGATACTTGTACGTTTTTCAATTGTTTCCGAGATTATTTGATTCGAAAGGTCTTAAGCACTGTCACATCCATAAATGGTTCGATGTAAACCAACAACTTGAAAATTGCATAAATGGTTCGATGTAAACCAACAACTTGAAAATTGTTTTCTTGAATTTTGCTGATGATTTTATCGATTTGATGTTACTAGAGAGTTCTTTATATCACTTAATACACGAGTATAATGCACTGGACTCAGTTAATCGCAACCTGTGTGCTGGATATCTGTAGTTATAGTGTCTGGTATCGTGTTCTGTCTGAGATTCCATATTTGTGAATAATCGTTCATCTTTGAAAATGAATAAGAGGCACTTCTGGATGAACATTGCATAGAAGGTGGGTAGTTTATTCTTTCTGAATAAATCTCTGCATGAATCTCCAGGTTTCAAGTTCCAGAGAATTATCTTCTGGATTATAAAGATCGCATTCGCAGCCCTGCTACTTCCATAGAATATGATACCATACCTCATGATTGACTCTATGTATGCATGATAAACCTCTTGAGCATTCAGCAATAATTCTTATTATGCTCAAAGCAGACGAGTTCAATTTCCACTGATATTATTGATGTGATTCATCCAACTCAATTTAGTATCAATGTGCATTCCTATTAATTCTACATATTCTGACATGCCCAAATTTAGATTTTCAATTTCAATGTGTGGTGGAATATCAGATCTGGGATGATTTGTTGTGAGAAACAAAAAATTAGTTTTGTTTTCATTCAGAATTTGTTTGTTCATTGTGAACCATTCATTTGTCACTTTCAAAATATGATCAATATTTATTACCAAATCAGGAAACAGTTCACAACGAACCAAACATGTCATCTATGTAGTTCGTGAGAAAATATTTGTTCTGATCAAGATTTTCTATCAGGACGATGATATAAATTATAAATTTGGTCTGATAATTAAACTTATGGCCCAAAAAGTGTATTCAAGGAGATATATCCTCATTCCAAAGTTGATTAAATTCAAATAATTTAGCTGAACTTTTAAACGATAGAAGCCACCAATTTGAAATTTCCTGCATGGATTTGATACTGCAGTAAAGGCTCAGAACGACTCATACGTTTGAGTTATTCATCACAAGTCCCCTATTTGAAATCAACTAAAAACTGGAAAATGCAAAAGGATACTCTGTTGCTTTCTGAGTTCGGCTTGTAGTGTGGCATCTCTCTGAGGTACCAACTGCCTAACTTCTCCCCATTTCCTGGTCAAGTCCTGCAAGAAACAACGTAGATGAATTTATTTCCAGATAAAGTCTGAGCTACACCGACATTTTACCTCTAAGTCACCACCGAATCCTTCCTTATTTAGGCAGAAAAAAATGCAAAAGTATCATATTAATAATACTACATGAATCCTTACGATATATTCGGTTATGAGGTGACTTATGATGGGGATGACGAATGAATGAAAACATGAAATTAAGGAGAGAAGATACTCACGTGAGCTGTCAATGTTGTGTAGGGATTCTCTAGTCCTCCAGGAACTTGGTGTTGTTTGACAATAGATTCGACTTCTTTAACTAGTCCTACAATGCTTTGGTATTCTTTGTCAGCCTCTCCTAGAGTTGCCTGAAAACGAAACTTATTACTATCAGCAGAAATTACTGAAGAAAAAATTATTTTGAAGAACAAGAGTAGGTTATTGCCTTAAACGTTGTGTAATCTGAATAAATCGTCAACTTTGCCAACTCATCAGCTTGGGAACGCCTTTCTATGAGCTTCTTCGATGGATATCCCAATACATATTCACCAGTACAGCCTTGATACATAGTAATCTGAAATCAGTAGCCAGTGATGTCAACCCCACGTTGACTGAATTGCCTTATATCTGTTGATGTCGATATATTTACATGGTCAATCCCTATGTGTCAATTCAATTATAGAATAACGTGACGATCACTGCCACTGCCATATTCTTTCATTGTCGAAATAATCTTGATGAAAGAAGGGATACCTGAGGTGGTGAGCCGTATGATGGAAGTTTGTGAAAAAGTATTTGGTGCACAACATGATCAAATGATTTCTAACGCCATGTTTTTTTTTATACAAGCTTGCCATATATTGGTGACGTAGGCGAGTAAACATCCAGTTGTTCTTGGATAGCAGAAGCCATATTGAGTATCATCAATGATTCCTGAACTTTCCAGATGTTTGATGAACTTGATGTTACGATGTTGATGGCTTTCTCCATCACTTTGGAAATAAGTGATAGCAGAGCGATTGGTAGATCTCTAGCTGTCTTCGAGCAGGATGAAATAACACCTGTCTTGTTCGAGATGGTAAATTACTTGCAGAAAATCGGTGTCGACTCTGGTGCACACTTTTTGAGAATGATGGGTGCAATTCCATCAGGACCGTTAGCCTAATTCGTTTCAAGACCAAGCAGAATGCGTCTGATCGTGCTCTGACGAAAGACGATTTCGAGCATTAACTTTCCACTCTGTCCTGAGAATCTAAGGTGGAGTTTACTGCGAATATAGCTCTCCAAAAATGTAAGATTCCTTTTGCGATATTGTTTCTAATGTGGCTTTGGGTAGTGGTTGAAATGAAATATTAGTGGAATTCCTTCCGACTGCTTTAGCGAAGGACCAAAACGAACAAGAGCCATTAGGAAGATCTATGAGTCTCGAACTCATTTTGGCACCGTATGTTCCATTTGATGCATTTATTTTTCGGCTGCCTATCTCTTGAAGTCGAACAAGAAAGTGGATCATTGAAAGGTGTGACTGTCATTGCCACTGCCACTGCCACTATGTAAATGAGCCTCTATATCTATCGATATGAAACTGCTGTTGGGACCTATAGCGGACTATTCCTTGAGGCGATGGCTGGCGTCGATCCACCCCTGTATCTCCTTCACAGTGTGCAAGATTGAAATATCCACCAGATAACAGGAAATAATTTTTCTACGTCGTAATATTAGGTTTTGATATTTATGGGTATCCAATGACCACAAGGCTGTCCGACGTCGTTAGAAGATAAAACTTTCGTATGAAGAGGTTCCACTCCAGTCATTTCGAAAATTTGACCGATAGGAACATTTCCTGATCATCATATCGGATATCGTACGTCGCATGACGGAAGACGAAGCAAAATGTACCTGATAGTACGTTGACGAAAGATGATTTCGAGCTTTATGATAATAATAATAATAATAATAAATTGTCTTTATTTTTCTTGGCGGAGTTTAGCTGACTCTATCCTTATGTAAATGAGCCTTTGTTCGTCCAGATAAAACTAAAGATACCAAGATCTATAGCAAACTTCATCTTGAAGTGATGGTGAGTGTCGTTCAGCCCCTGTATCTTCTCCGTTGCCAAATAAAGGAACAGAAATATGTGCCTTCTCAGATATAAATGAAGCTTATGACAATACTCCCCATAGAGCTGTCAAGAAAACACCAGAAGTCAGAGGAGTAGCCGAAACAACCTCCGCCCCGATGCATATTCCAACTGCTCTCTACGATAATTACAGTAACGAATGTTGGGAAGAGACAGTCTCCATCCAAACAACCAGAGGCTGCCCGCATGGAGGAGTCTCCCTTAATGTGATGTAGTCTCACAGTAGACGAACTAATCTGTGAGCTTACTGACCTCGGCATATCCTGGCATCAATCCTACCAAAACCACTCTATTGGCCTTCACGAGGAAGAGTAAAACTTATCTCTCTATAGCGGACTTTATCTTGATGTGATGGTGGGGGTCGATAAACCCCTGTTTCTCCTTCACTGATAAATGAAGAAATCGAAATATGTGCCAATTTAGATACAAAAGGAGCTTTTGACAGTGCTCCCCATAGAATTGAAAAAAGAGCACTAGAAGTTAGAGGAATAGCGTCAACAACATCACAATGGATGCCTTGATACTGCTCTCTACAAGGATTGCAGAAACGAATGTTGGGAAGAGACAGTCCATATCCAAACAAGCGGAGGCTGTCCTCATGTAGGACCCCCCCTTAATGTGATGGAGTCTTACAGTAGACGAACTAATCAGTGAGCTCACTGACCTCGGCATACAGGGTATTTCACAGGTAAAGGAAAATATTTCAATGGTAGATAGGGTTTACCAAGGTGGTTCTGAAAATACCATATTTGATAGGTCTTAGAGTCTTCATAACGGAGATACAGGGCGATTTATCGATTTCGAATAATTATTCATTCGTCTATATGTATTGACTTACCCAGTATATTTTTCTCAAATTTGGTGAGGAGCTTCTACTTGGGACGTTGAATTCATTCACCTATCGGGCAGAGTGAAAATCCAGGTTCGGATTCAGGAAAAATTTACATTTATTCGAAATATTAAAATAACACTCTGTATGTGATAATTGAAAGAGTTCATCAAAGGAATCGTGAAGAAGAGAAAAAACTAAACTGTATTTGATGCTTTTTGTTTCCCTGCCACCAATTCTCATAGTAATAATCATAAACATAAAGTTGAAAGTATGTCAATTTGAAGACTATTGAAATTATGAAATCAGTGTCAATTATGATTGATCGATATATTTCCAGTCAAAAAATCGCTCTAAAGAACTTACTAAGTCTCACAGTCTTTATAACGGAGATACAGCTAGGGTGAATTATCGGTTTTAAATAATCGTTCACTCGTCCATGAGTAGTATCAAACTACCCAGTAAAATTTTCTCAAATTTGGCATGTAGCTTACTTGGGACGATGGATTCATTAACCTATCAGGCGGAATGGAAATAATACCAAATAATTATAATTCGATAATTCACCCTGTATCTCTGTTGTAAAGACTATATGAGACTTCTCCTGAAGCTGAACCTGTATTTCCATTCTGCCTGATAGATCAATGAATCCATCGTCCCAAGAAAGCTCAATACCAAATTTGAGAAAATATTACTGCGATGGGTAGTTTAATACTTATGGACGAGTGAATAATTATTCGAAACCGATAATTCACCCTTTATCTCTGTTATAAAGAAAGTGAGACTCAGTAAGTTCTTTCGAACGATCATTTAACTAAAATATATCAAATAATCATAATTAAAACTGGTTTTATAATTTTAATACTCTTCAAATTGACATACTTCTAACTTTCAGTTTATGATTGTTACGATGCGAATTGGTGGCGGGAAAACGAATAGCATCAAATTCAATTCCGTTTTTCCTCCTCTTCACAATTTCTTCGATGGACTCTGTTAGTTATTACATATAGTATGTTATTTTAATATGTTGAATGAATATTAATTTTTCCTGAAGCCGAACCTGAAATTTCGCTCCACCCGATAGGTGAATAAATTCAACGTCCCAAGTACCAAACTTGAGGAAAATATACCAGGTAGTTCAATACTTATAGACGAATGAATAATTACTCGAAATCGATAAATCGCCCTGTATCTCCGTTATGAAGACTCTAAGACCTATCAAATATGGTATTTTCAGAACCACCTTGGTGACTCCTATGTACCACTGAAATATTTCCCTTTACCTGTGGAACACCCTGTATATGCTGGCAAGACAACTGGACATCAATCCTATCAAAGCCACCCTAGTAGCCTTCACGAGGAAGAGGGAAACTGATCTCTCTATAGCGGACTCCACCTCGATCAACCCATGTTCCTTCTTCACTGACATATAAAGAAACGGAAATATGTACCTTCTTAGATACAGAAGGAGCTTTTGTCAATACTCCCCATAGAAATGTCAAAAGAGTACTAGAAGTCAGAGAAGTAGCTGGAATAACATCACGATGGATGTCCTAACTGCTCTCTACAAGAATTACAGAAACGAAGATTGGGAAGAGACAGTCCCTATCTCAACAAGAAGATGCTGCCCTCGAGTAGGGTAGGACCCCTCCCCCTAATGTGATGGAGTCTCAGTGTAGACGAACTAATCGGTGAGCTTACTGACCTCGACATATCCTGGCAAGGCAACTGGGCATCAATCCTTGCAGAAACCACACTAGTAGCTTTCACGAGGAAAAGGAAAACTTATCTTGATATAGCAAACCCTGTATCTCCTCCACTGACAAAAGAAGAAACTGGAATATGTGCCTTCTTAGATGTAGAGGGAGTTTTTGACAGTACTCCCCATAGAACTGTCAAAAGAGCACTACAACTCAGAGGAGTAGCTGGAACAACATCACGATGGATGTCTATACTGCTCTCTACAAGAATTACAGAAACGAATGCTGGGAAGAGACAGTCCATATCCGAACAACCAGAGGCTGTCCGCAAGGAGGACACCCCCTAAATGATTTGTAGTCTCACAGTAGACGAACTAATCTGTGAGCTTATTGACCTCGACATATTTTGGCAAGGCACCACCCTAGTAGCCTTCACGAGAAATAAGAAAACTTATCACTCTACAGCAGACTTTACCTTGAAATGATGGTGAGCATCGATGAGTCCTTGTATCTCTTCCACAGTGTGTACGATGAAAATGTCCACCAGATCTTCGCGAGTGCCGTCCAGCCAGTTGTTGAACGGCGCTGCTCGCTTGGCGAACTCCAGATGCAGGATGTCGATCTTCTCGAGGATGCGCTCCGCGTCGTCCAGAGCCTGCCTGCGACGCTGCGTCAGCGCTCCCAGGCGGTCCCATTGGTCGCACACGCGCTGGCAACGCGCGTTTACGGTCACGCTGTCGTGGTACTCCAGGGTGCTGAAAACAGGAAACTCTAAATACCTCAGGCTGTACATTGACCATAAATTGAAATTATCATCAGGCTGTTTCGCTGCTCGATTAGTATCAGGTATGGTATCGCTATGTGCTAGCATACATCAGCAGCGTTGTCCTGTCCTCACGATATTGTTGTATAGAGTGTGTATGTGTGTTATTATTTCCCAAGAGTTTCAATTGATTAGTATAATTATTTAAAATAAGTATATCCGAATTCACCCGCGTAAACTCAGATTTACCAAAGGGACAAGGTGGCAACATGGCATCTTCTCACGTGTTCAAGAAGATAGCGTAAAACTAGGAACCGCCGATTATTCGAGTTCGTCAAAGTAAACATTGCAATCATAAATTCCGTGGAAAACACGTGAAATTACCTGCATCAAGTCGAATTCAGGCTATTGATTAAACAAGCGTCACCAATTAAATTTGAATTTGCATTGAAAACTTATGATTGAACGATTAGTAAATTATTGTGTATTGTTATTTTTTTTGTTTGAAGAAAATGATACTGTGATACTGAGATGTAACAATATTTTTGAATTGGTTTTATTCGAAAATGATACATCTGATCGATATGGAATAAGAGTACCTTTTTTTTGTGAAGCGTTGTGGATTTTTATAATCCGAGATTAAATTGTCGAAAAATATGCATATTTGAAAGTTCAAGCCAATTTTCAATGTAGTCTCACTCTGTATTATATTCTCCTGAATGAAATTTTTGAATTTCACTGCATTGGGCATGAAGAGTATTTAGTTCTTGTACCGAAACGCACCACTTTATTACATGGCGTTTTGGATATATTCAAGAAATATCATCTTCAGGAGTCCCCTCTCCTTACGAGACATTTTCATGTTCATTGAAATTTTTCCGCCTTCCCAGGCAACCAGATGACGTTTCAGTAACGTCTTTTTCCGTCAGTTGAATGACCAAGGTGAAGTCAGGAGTTGACGTCGTATGACGTGATAAATGACGTGAATAAGTCACAGCCCAATGACGTCATATTACTCACGTTTATTGACGTCAGTCACTCACCTATCGTTGACGTAGAAATGACGTCAAAATGACGTTCATTTCTGATGATAAAGCCAAACATAGTGTGTTGAACACCACTGACCTCTAATGACATCAAATATTGATTATGCACCTTCGAAGGTCCCTACTCAGCAGCGCTTTCCTTTAGTGTACATCTCCATCACGAAAAATTATGTAGTTTGTGTCGGTGAGATGTGAGTAAACCAAGAATAGTTTGATAGCAATGTGAAGGATGTTGGCGAATTCAGCTTCATTTTGTTTAGTAACGTTATTCATGCATTTCTTGTCACTCAACAAAAATCAAAATAGCAAATTTTTTACAAATTTGCTGAATGACGAAGCCCACCAAATTAATACGTCACACCGACGTGATTTTTAGATGTCATAGATACGTCACTGCAACGTCATAAAAGTGACGGTTTCAATATAGTTACACCTATATTATCATTCGTATTTATACATATATAGCTTGATTGGTTTCCGAGATATACAGGGAGTCGAAGAATAGAAAAGCTTTATCTTAATTTTTGGGTACATATAATTCCAATAAAACTTGCATGTTGATTTGTTTTGATGAGTTGTTATACTACTATCGACGTTATAGAAGCATATAAGTACCAAGACGAACATGTTTCCATATATGTTTAAAACTGATGAAAAAACGATTTTTTGCCCATCCTGTATATAAATATATAGGTACGTCACAAACCTAACGCTCTTACATGGTAGTGACATCACAAACCTAACGCTTTTACATGGTAGTGCAAGTAAACATGGTTGAGATATGGTCTGGGAAACATGGACGTCGACAGGACGTCCCTGCAACGTCATGAAACTGACGTCTTATCTTACCCTCCTAAGTGACGTTCACTCGACGTGATTATCACGTCATAGAAAGTACGTCATAGAGACGTCATAAATTGGTGTGTGACGTCTCTGACGAAAAATCACCAATTAGGGAGGTCACAGTGACGTGATCATTCGTCATCTGGTTGCCTGGGGTGCTATCTGGGATATAACTCACTTGAGTTCCTGCGCGATGGCGGCGATCTGCTCGACCCTGTCCTGATGAGCCGCCAGGTCCGACTCGAACGCCTCGTGCTTCTTCTTCAGCGCCTTCAGCTCGTTGAGCCTGCAATGGCGGAAGTCCTGCGACTGCAGCATCTCCTCCTTGCCGCCGGTCCAGTCCTCGTGTGCATCGGCCTTGTGCTTGAACTTCTGCGCGAGGTGCTCCAGACGTTCCAAGCGCATCATCTCGGAGAGCAGCCATTCCTCGAAGGATTTTTCGGCGTGCTCGAGTCCTTTCCACGCGTTGGCGATGTCCTGGGAGGAATCGGAAGGTGGTTAAATCAGAGGGAGGGATTGATTGATTGATTGATTGTCTTCATTATCCCAAGAAACATTTTTGTTTATGAAATATATTGAAATAATATGAATATTTTTTTTTATAGAAACGAGGAGAGAAAATCCCAAAGAATCAAGTGAAATGAATGATAATCAAAGCTGTGCATTTTCAAAAACATATTGCTTTATATGTTTTCTCGATACTGTAAAAATATTTTTGGAATCGTCACACGCGTTACTGAAATATGAATGTTTTATTGAGATAATTCATAATTTGGTGCTCTAATTTCTATTGGCTTTGTGTTCCTGTCAATCTAACAGTGGTCAAATATCAATCAAAACCTCCATATCCTTAACTTCCAACAGAAATCAATCCTGATTATTGCAATAAAAATTTGACTGTGTGAGTTTTTCTAATGTGTCTGTACATACAATAGGAGAACTGAGGAACTGAACATATCTTTCTAAATTTCTGTTTTCACAGTCTTCTGTACTTGCTGCATTGTTTGGGAAAACAGTATACTATCTCGTAAATACAAAAACCTTGGGAAACTTCAAAATTTATAAAAATTCACTCCATTGCACAATGCTTAATTTGAGATTGTTTTGTTTATCACCCCCGCCATTTTCATTTTGCCGCTCGACAAAATACGACTGGGGAAACAGTTACCCCAGGCAGCACAAAGAGGTCCTGAAGATATCTTGAACATATCCTTCTAGGAAATTGTGATGCCTTTCGAAACTTCTTTGAGATATACGCATCAATCGCCACTGGCGAGAACTGATAGTGATCGCAATTATGAGCTGTTTGAGAAATTCGCATACATGGCTTTGTGACGAGGACATTGGGAGATTCGCATCAATGCTTCTGGCGAGGTCTTCAAGTGCTCGCGACTACAAGCTGTTTGAGATATTTGCACGCATAGCCTTGTGAAGAGGACTTTGAGAAATTCGCATCAATTACTAATGGTGAACTCTTCAAGTGCTCGCAACTATGAATTGTTCAAAAATCCGTGCACATCGCCTTATAACGAGGCCTTTAAGAGCGATATTTGCATCAATCGCCACATGATCGCCACTAATATGGTATGGTCTCCAATTTTTGGGAAGTCATTGGTTATCAGCAGTCGCCTGTCGGCGAAGTCTAACTAGCGCCAGCTATATTGTTCGGGGTGAAGTTGAATTTACTCGATATTTGTTTCAGCGCCGAAGATGAAGTTACCAAACTTTTAGATCAACGTATTGAGCTTCAATTATATATTATTCTATAGCAAGACATTGATCAAGTGATCTTTTTCACTTGAAAACATCTTTGAGGAGTTGGCCGGGTATTCATTTAAAAAAAAAAAGGTCGTCCGATATTTACCCACGAAGTTGAAGTAGATATTTGATTCTCGATCCCATCTGAATTCAAACGTTTTTGTCTATTTCGTCAGAGCAGATAATTATCATTAATTTACTGCAGAATTTGAAATAATCTTCCATGATGGCGGGGAGATAATGATATGACATGTTGAACAAATTCTCTGAGACAGTAGGAAAATGAAGTATCTAGTATACAATCATTATTATCATAGATTAATGACTCCCATTTCATGTTAATATTGGGTGTCCCAAGTTATCGTATAGGTACCGACAAGATGATAAAAAAATAGTGAAAATGCTTCAAATGATATCAAAGTACTCTCTACATGACTTAAAAAAATGTATTAAACTGAACAGCCCTGATAGCTACCCCTCAATTTTGATTGAATGGACTCCCTGTATATAGTCATTGAAAATTGTCTATCATCCTGAAAAAGAACGATAGCACATCGGTACTTTGTATTCTGTTCATTAATAACAACAATAACGTAACATCGATTGAACATGTTGATTAATTATTACACTAGGTAGGTACCATCTGCAATGATTATTTTTTTTTTTTTATCGCTTGGAGTGCACGAAAGGGAATCCCTATAATTTTCAAAGAACATCGTGCGTTCCTAGGGAGGATAGGGACAGGAGGTAGGTATTGGAATTTTGTTTGAACTTTTGGAGATTATATGTTGTTGGGAATACTTCCACAGGCAATGAATTCCAGAGCCTAGCCGTTCTATGGATGAAGGAGTCTTGATAAAGTGCTGTTCGACATCTTTCGAGGTTGACAACGAAAGGATGTGCTGACTGGGCTTGTCTAGTTCGTCTGATTGGTATTGCTAGTGAAGGGATGATAGCAGAGATTTCCGAAGAACATTTCCCGTGGAAGTATCGATAGAAAAGTGAAAGGTCGCCGACCTTTCTACGGTGTTCCAATGATGTCAAAGAGTGAGTGAGTGTGGCGTCACCCACCAGGCGAATGGCTCTTCTCTGGATGGAATCTAAGAGCATCAGCGTATGTTTTGGTGCTGAACCCCATATGTGGGAACAGTATTCTAGAACAGGCCGTATCTGCGCTTTGTAGATCATAAGAAGCTGTTGAGGTGTAAAGTAGCTTTTCGCACGGAACAAGAATCCGAGTTTTTGTGAAGCAGCTTTTGCGATGGATCTGACATGATTATCCCATGAAAGAGTGTTGCTGATGGAAATACCGAGCATAGATATGGTGGGCTTGGTGGGGATGGTGGAGCCAGACATCACAATATCGGGCATACTGAGTTCCGCCTTTCTAGAGAAAATGCAGGCTTGAGTTTTGGTGGCGTTGAATTCCACTAGGTTGTTGGTTCCCCAGGCTGTGATTTCAGCAAGATCTTCATTGACAGCATTGACCTGCCTGCGCCGTGAGTTCTTAGTTTCCTGGGAAGAAATGGGAATTCTGGAAGAGAACGCAGTATGGAGGGTACTATCATCTGCAAAGCTGTGGATGGGGCAAGTTGTTACTCCCAACAGATCATTGATATGAAGCAGGAATAATGTTGGTGCCAAAATTGATCCTTGTGGAACGCCGGAATTGATGCCAAAGGTATCAGACGATACACCGTCCACCACCACGTGAAGCGATCTGCCTGAAAGAAAACTCGATAAGAGATGGCATAGCTGAGGTGGTAGGCCGTATGATGGTAGTTTGTGGAGGAGTCCTTCGTGCCAAACACGGTCGAATGCTTTCGAAATGTCCAACGCGACAGCTAGAGATTCCCCGTGTTTTTCTATTGAAGATTGCCATAAATGGGTAACGTAGGCAAGTAGATCTCCAGTAGATCTTCGATGGCGAAAGCCGTATTGTCTATCATTGATGATTCCTGAGCTCTCCAGATATTTGATAAGCTCAATATTGATGGCTTTCTCCATCACTTTGGAGATTACTGATAACAGGGCAATGGGCCTGTAGTTGTTGGGCAGGTTCTTGTTCCCTTTTTTGGGGATTGGTTGGACTCTAGCTGTCTTCCAGCATGATGGAAAAATACCCGACCTGTACGAGATGGTAAACAACTTGCAGAGAATCGGTGTTAATTCTGGTGCACATTTTTTGAGGATAATGGGTGGAATTCCATCAGGACCGTTAGCCTTATTCGTTTTGAGACCAAGCAAAATTCGTCTGATAGTGCGTTGACGGAAGACGATTTCGGGCATTCGACTCTCAACGGGTGGAATGTCTGGCGGCAGTTTTCCTTGGGAATCTAAAGTAGAGTTTGCTGCGAACATCTCTGCAAAAATATTTGCTTTCTCCTGCGATGTTGTTGCTAACGTGCCGTCTGATTTGGACAGTGGTGGAAATGAGCTATTAGTAAAATTTCTTCCGACCGCTTTAGCAAGGGACCAAAACGAACGAGAGCCATTGGGGCAATCTATGAGTTTCGATCTTATCTTGGCATTGTATGTTTCTTTCGAAGAATCTATTGTTTGGCTGCAGTTATTCCTGGCATCAACGTATTCTGCTCTAGTCGCGAGGTTAGGGTTTTTGCGCCAGCGATGGTAGGCTGTTTGTTTCAAGGCAACAGTTCTAGAACAGTTTTTGTTGAACCAGGGTTTCGAAGGTGATGATCTTTTCGAAAAATGAGGTATGTATGTGTCCATTCCGAGCATGATGATCTCGGATATTTCCGCAGCACACTGTGAAGGGTCCTCAGAGTCAAAGCATACTCTATGCCAAGGAAACTCGGAGAAAAACATGCGGAGACCGTCCCAATCTCCTGAATTGTAATGCCATATAAGACGTGGGGGTGCCGGAGCAGTTGATGGAATGAAAAATGGGCAGGTTGTGGAGATGAGTGTATGGTCAGAACTGCCAAGTGGAGCTCGTACATCTATGGTGTAGGGTGCTGAATTATTAGTGAGGAATAAGTCAAGTATGTTAGCTGAATGGTTATTGACATCGGGAATTCGTGTGGGTTCTTTGATAAGCTGCTCTAAGCCGTGAGTGATGGCGAAAGCTTCGGCTTGTCGCCCAGCTTCATCCGTTCTGTTAGAGTGTACGAGCCAAGCAGTGTTGTGTACATTGAAATCGCCCATGATGATGATTTCTGCTGCAGGATGGTTCTGTTGGATTTGGTCAAGCTTCAGAGACAAGAATTCGAAGAGCTCTTCATAGGATGGATCATTTGGTGATAAGTAGAGACAACATAGGTATTTGGTCTGTTTCTGGCTATCGAGTTTGAACCACATGACATCAAACTTGTTTGGTTCCAAAGTTTTTTCTCGTTGACATGAGAGATTCGTTTTAGAGTAGAGGCAGAGACCTCCCTTGAATCTAAAACGTGTGTGGAGTTCGTACCCAGGACAGAGCAGATAGGTCGTATTGGTGGATGAATTGACCTGTGTCTCAGTAAGAGCCAATATGTCTGGCTTTTCAATTTGAAGGTGTCGATGGACATCGTTGATGTTCTTACTTAGACCTCGGATGTTACATAGGTCTATCTTGAGGACTTTTTCAGCCGATGGTGAACCCCCTCTAGCACCTCTCGCCCGGAAATCCGAATGGAGAGGTATTTTACTTCCGGATAATTTTACTTGAGGAGAACTCATCATCGCGTATTCTGTATGAAGAAGGGAGGTTGGCGTGGAAGGAAAAGGAAATTGGGTTGGGTTGGGTTGGATTGGCCGGAACATCAACCAGCTACTGAAACACGGGTAAGTATACCCATTTCACAGTGCCTATGGTTGATTGAAGTTCTGCACTTCAAAATGAAATATTTGTCATTGATTTTATGGAACAAAAATGAAATCCATACTTCTTATCTGTGAACTTTTTGGACACATGGGTGAAAACAATTTTTCATTTTAAGTAACGTAAGAAACTCACAAAATGTTCATGTTTTTGTTGTTATGCTATATCGTTGTATTCCAAATAGATTGACACGCAATTTTCAGAGACAATATGCTATTTGAAAATAAAAACTGATTAGTATCTACCATCAGGGGGCTGCCAAATATATCACATTCTTCATAAGCCATTAGGAAGGTTATTCAATGCCATTCAATACAGTTTTTTGATGTTTTTGATATCTTGACAAATAGGCGAGATATTGCATGTATACGATAACTTGGGACACCCAGTATTTGATTCATAAAGACTATTGAAAAAAACAACTCAATATTTTTGTAGGAATATTCATTAATTATTCAGGTTATGTTTGTGATTACTTTAGGAGCTCGCAATGGGAAATGCTCGATCTTGTTACGTCCAGGATATCCTCAGGTGCTCGCAGAAAGAAATGCCTATTCATTTCCTATTATAGATAACCTCAAGGATTCGCAATAATAAGGAATATTTCAAATCTGAGGCGAGATCTCCGCGATTTCTTTCGGACGACCCCAGAGAGTATTTCCCATGGTGATAGCCTATAGTGATCTTTGGCACCTCGCAGGAGGATTTCGCATTTTGATCCTGAAGATAAGTACTTAGAGATATCGCGGAGAGTTCCGTGTTACCTGGAACGTTAGGCCAGAAAAAATATGAGGCAAGCATATAGAGTTAAATAGCCTCCCAGCAAACACATGTTATATTCACATCACTGTTATATAACATCAACGGAACTTTTTTTATATAAAATATTTACGTAAATATTCCATAATACCTCTAAAATATTCAAACCTCGTATTTGTATAAAATATTTACGTGAATATTCCATAACAATTCCAAAATATGTGAACCCCATAATTATATATAAATGTAACGTGACTATGATGTAACTGATATGTGAAAATTTGATATCAATATAAAAGCTTATATATTAGCTACATGACTTTACTAGGACTCTAGGCCGTAAATTCTCTGCAGACTTGATTCTGCGCCAATTAAGGATATTTGTTGGGATGATCAGTACCCGTGGTCTCGCGCTGTAGCGTCCCCCCACCGCGATGATTATTATTTTTCGCTCTCGCACTGTAGCGTTTCTCCGTGACCACTCTGAGGTTATAAGTAATGAGTGAAGACTTGGAGACTGAAAGCATTTTCAGTATTTTCTCACTATTCCGAGTGATTTTCTTGTTTCCACCAATTTTCTGTAGTGGTCCCCCATCCCACAAGCTCAATTCCCATTGGTCGACTACTCTGAGGTTATGAGTTATAATTATAAGTGAAGACGAGACCATAAACAAATTATACTGAAGGTATTTTCGGTATTTTATAACTATTTCGAGTGTTTTTCTTGTTTCCACCTGCTGTGTTTGATAAATTTAACTAAACTAAGTGTAATAAGAATGAGTGGAGGTGAGTGAGAATAAAACATGCCTTGATATTTTCCTAACCTCTGTGAAAACAACAAGGAAGAAATAGTTACTTATCTATCCTGGACCTCTTAAATGCCTAGAATAAGTGATGAATCTGGTAGGTATTGATAGAATCCGAGGTATAATCTGGTCAAACTTCAATTCTCATATGAAATTGAACAAAAGCCAGTGATTGATTATGATGGCTGATGAAAACCCCAGTGAAAAGCCCAAAGTGCCTCACATTCTGGATTAAAGTTATATTAGTGGTTATGGAAATTTGATCATTTTGTCAGTGATTATTATTTATTGTTTCATAAATAAGTTCATGAAGAACCCCAATAAGATGAATCCTGAAATGTATACTTTTCCAGGTAGGTACATCTTTTCAAAACTCAAGGTGGTAGAAATGGGAGAGACTATCTATATATAGGGGCCACACAATGTTCCTGGTAAGGGCAGAGGGGAAACATTGGAGTCAGAGATTTGAAATCAATCAAAATATCATTATCTGGTAATATATATTTTAGATTTTAATTTGAAAAATGAAAAACAAAGCAATATTTTTTCAGAATCCATCATTATCACACACCCTTCGATATCTTACTCTGATAAATAAACCAGCAGGAAGGTGGTTCTGATTTAGTCACCAGAGGTTAAATGGAGGGTTAAATTGGGATCTCAAGAAGAAAGATATAATTTGATCACTCACAATTTTAATTTTTTGAACTTTTGAAGTATACATAAATGGTCTCACTATTTTCAAAGAAGATTATTGGATATGATGCACTTACCGACACCATCTTGCCCTCGGTAGGCATGTACGCCGGTCGGTTCGACAGCCGCAGCTTGGTCTGCAGCGTGTTGAAGTTGGTCTCGAGCTTGGCCTTCTGTTCGACGCGCGGCGGCTTGTGCTTGCGTCGGTACGTGCGGTACTCCTCGAGCTTCTTCTGCACGCCGGCCAGCGAGTTGTCCGTCTGACGGGAGGCCAGCCACGGCATGGTGCGCCGGATCCATTCAAGCAGCTGAATAGGGAGAAATATTGAGTGAAAAGATTAGAACGATTTTTTTGAATTGAAGGAAATGAAGGAAATTACATAGTAGCTGTTTTCATTGATCTGAAAAAGGCTTTTGATACAGTGGATCACACAATACTTCTGGATAACTCGGAATCCATGGGACTCTGAGGCATTGTGAGAAATATTTCAGCTTCATATCTTGAAAATAGGACAATCAGTACCAAATCTGCTAATTCTGAGTCTCATGAACTGTCAATGAATAAGGGTATTCCACGAGGATCTGTTTTAGGACCAATACTGTATCTGCTTTATATTCAAAATATCACGAAAGTTGGTTTAGCGAATAATTATACCATATATGCAGACGATACAGTGCGTTTATATGAAGAAAAAATCCTTCAATTTTAGAAACTGTGATAAATAACTATCTGAAATTATTTGAAAAATGGCTCCACTCTAATCTTTTATCGATATATACCAGAAGAACTGAATACATGATGTTGAAACTGCAGCTCAATCTTCAAATGAAGAAAGAATTCATTATTCCAAATTTTTTGAGATTTTCTCTCCTCGTTTCTATAAAATAAAAATATGAATATTATTTCAATATACGTGTAGTAAGGACAAATCAGATGATTTGCTCCAAAATGTCACTGCGTTTAAAGAATTTTCCTATCAGAGAGCCTAAAAGAAAAATTCACTAGCTTGTCAGTGACAATTTGTATTGAAAAATGTTTTGAGAAGAGAAATGAAGGTATATAGAAAAAATATCAAATTTTCACTTATCTTTGGACGTTTCGGGACCGATTCTGTTCCCGTTTTCAACATAAAGAGATTTTTTCAATTGCGAAGTCGTATTATATGTCTTGAAACTTTTCAGTTCTCAATGACAATTGGTGACGTTGGCAATCAAAAAATTTGGAATAATGAATGTACCACCTCCTCGATTAACATACAGATAGTATTTAAAGAAAGAAGTCTTGAAACAAATTGATCAGATAAAGTATTTGGGTATTTGGTTTGATGAGAAATTGAAGTGGGACAAACATATATTGAGGTTCTGACAAAGAAAATATCTCCTATTATTGGTGTATTGAGAAGATGTCCCAAACTCAATATGAATTGCAAATATTCACATATACTAAGTTGAAAAACCTAATCAATAAATGTTTGGCGATCTTGTTCTAAAAAATTTTAATAAAATATCAATATTATATAGGAAATTGAAAGAACTGTATTGTCTTCCATATGATACACCAACAACTGAACTGTATGCCCTCACAAAAACATATTCTTCAGAATAACTGTACAGATTAGAGACCCTGAAAATTTCATATGATATCATACATAAAAAATTGAAATCTAATATTATATTGACAAGAAATTTTGGAATTTATAGGCATCAAACTAGACAATATAACTTATTTCACCTTGATGCTGCTAGTTCTACACTCAGACAAAAAAAAGTCACTCATGCAGCCTTATCTGAGTTCAATAAACTACCAGATGTAATTAAAAACTGCAGAAATATAGGTACATTTAAAAAGAAAATGAAAAAACTTATCTTCTCAGAGAGAAATGTTTAAAATTCCTCAGTAAATTATGTCCTTGACTAGAATGCTCTTCTTTATTCATTGATTGTTTTGTTTTATTGTGAGTTATTGTGATATCCTGATTCATTATATGATTTTTCATTCATGTTCACTTCTACTCATGTTTGTGTAGTAGTGCATAGATATTTATTACTCATTATTTTATAATCATATTCTTCCTCATACTAGAACTTGTTCTGACAGGAAGATATTATGTTTGATAAATAAATAAATGAAAAAAAATTATCCTCAGCTAGATAAATTATTGCTATCGACTTACATAACAATGTGTATAAACACCCAATATCTTTGAGCATCTTTCATACCTTGACTTTGGCATCGTCAAAAATTATTGTGCGACCACCTCCGAGTAGTTTTACCCTACTTTAACCAGTCGAACATACATTCTGCTCCACCCTTGAGTAGTGCCTGTTCAGTCGAATAGAGATAATATTGGTACTGTCTGAGTGCATATATCAGCCCAACACACACGCACGACAAAAGTTGGAATTGAATGCGCAGTAGTGCAGCCAGTCGAATATGCTAATAATAAAGTGGTTGAGGGTATCGGTGTGATATAAATTATTGTATTCTCTCAAGAATTGGCCTCTCTCAAGAATTGCCCTCTCTCAAGAGTTGCCCTATTTAAACCAGGAGTATATTATTTTCCAAGTTTGAATCCTTGAAGTATTTGATGAATAAGCTAGTTCTCGAAAAACGAAGAAAGTATGAGAAATGGAAGTACACTAACTCCTTCCATATATGGTATGTTCTGATCAAGCTGATTCAGCTTAGAAAGTTCACGCAAATATTGTGGAGAAACCGTCTTCAGAGTGAACTTTATTTAAAGGAGCGTAATTTTCCTACGTTGTTTTTGATAAACAAAAAAATTTATCATGAATTGTACCTACTAGTATTTTGAAACTGATATTTCAGAGCTAGGAATACATTCTTGTTATGGATTGACAATCAATTAAATGAAAACTAAATACTTACGTCACTGGCAAGGCGTTCGTATTCTTCCATGAGGCGTTCATTTTCTTGGTTGACTTTGAGGACCTTGCAGATTCTGTTGGCAGCAGTCTCAGCCTTAACAGAGAAGCAATGTTGATTATTGTTATAAAGAGAACGAAATCAATTTTTCACTACTAAACACACTGTGTAGGTTGTTGAGGTTATTGAATATACAAAATAGAATTGCAGAATATGTGAAAAATTCGTGTTGAGTAGAGAAAAATCAAATTTAATCTTCTGAAGTTCAATTACTACAAAAAAAAACTCGAGAAAATACTATTGGGAAAAATTGTATCTCCCTAGATTTCTACTCCAATAGCAATATACACTATCATTTGAATTATCTAATTCAGATTCTGTTCCAGAAAAAGTATATTGGTGTGGTTACCTACAGGATTATTGAAAATTCAGAACCATTAGCTGAGATACTCCCGGAATTTATAGATAAGTATTTGTTGCAAGATTATTGCAGCAATAGTGAAACAATCGCAACTATATATAGTTCATTAGAATAAACTTCCTTTATCTAACTCAGGACGCTGAACAAAAATTATAACGAAAATAGCAGAATAAAAAGAATTAAACGTTGAATCGGCTGTTATCCACAGCAAGATAAAATAGGAATTCCATGAATTACATCACAACATAACATTTAATGATTCAGTCAATCTAAAAATAAAATGCAGTTTATAGCTGGTAAGCTTTCGGGAAATTATTCAGAACTAAACTATGTCACGATCCAAATACGTATTTCATCTATTAATTAGTAAACTATAAGTGAACCTAACAACCATGATTATATGTCTCAAGAAACCACAAAAGTAGTTGATATTGATTGATTTAATACAAGGAGACTTTGAAAAAGCCTCTTAGAATAATAACTTTGTAGGTATTTCGCCCATATAATATTTTCCGTTATCTGATTGAATTTCAATGAAATTTTCCATTCTCATCATTTATCTAGATTGTTACTCATTTTAAAACTCCAGATGAAGACGAAATTGGGATCATGAGGAAGAAGGAAAGCTCAAAGCCTCTCCACACTTTATTAATGATCTAATTATTCAAGGGTACATGTTTCGGAATCATGAAGGCCCATCTTCAGTCCAATTTAAAAATTACTACAAGCAGAGGAAAGGTGAAAATGCATGTCAGAAAAAACCGAAATTTGACTTTTCTGAAATGTATTTTCATCTTGTCTAGGCTTGTGATACCTTCTAAATTGAGCTCAAGATGGACTTTTATAAGTCCGAAACAGACCCCCTTGAATAATTGCATCATTGAAAGAGTGTGGAAATGACTTTGAGTTTGAGTTGAGTGAGACGTAATTGAAACGATAGTTTAATTTTCCATAGCAACCAATTGAGTAAACCCATCAATCAACGAATACATCATTGACGATTTAATTGAAATCACTTATGATTCATCAAACGAAGTGATACACAATTATGATTTGCATAGAATTGGAATGTCTGAAACAAACGTATTGTTCGAATCAAATTATCAACTTTATGCGAATGTTTTCGACTGTGAATAGTTATTTGTTTTACTAGGCAGAAAAGTACAAGATTTGATGTCGCGGCTGACGTTTCATAGACTAGGCGTAGCGGAGGCTAGGAAACCAGCCAATGCATTACATCTTCTTTTCTGCCATGTGAAACATATAATTTTTCTCCAAATGCTTTTCAATCTCACGGAAATTACAAATAATCCATAATTTTTTGTTTACCCAGTCATTGTCAATTTTGATTACCAATTTGATTCAAATTACTTGGAACATTGCATAGCAACAAACTTTTTCTGCCTAGGCAGTGAAAGTACAACTTCTCTGCCTGTAAAGTGTATTATCAAACCCACTTTTAATGTCATTTGGAAAAAAAATTTATTATGTTCAGAAAATCAAAGTGCCTATATATTCCTAGTGAATAAATAAATATACTTTCATTTTGCGACACAAGTTCGAACTAATTAATAAGAGTTAGTATATTGTAAAACACAAAAAAATCACCTTTTGTGCACCAGAGAAACGATGGTAGTAGGATGACACATACGTCATAACTGCTCTTTCATCTGGCATAGCTGTATTTTGTAAGTCTGCATGCAAACAAACGAATTAAATAATAAAAATCTCAAAAACGTGTTATGGGGCAAAAACAAAAACACGAATCACAATGTTGGTTCAGAAAAAAACTCTTACAAGCTTTACCACCAAGATTTTGAGTATAATGCAACTTTTAAGGGTAGCAAACAAAACTGATGTGTGAACAGATAGAAGAGAAAAAACTCAATTTTGATAACGTTTCAGAATTGTTCTTACTTTGATACCTTCATAGCATTCTGATTTGAAATAAATTCATATTATGTTCAATCTGGGAAGATAGTAGGGGTATTTTCATGAAATTTTCAATCGGATTTATCCTCCTACCGTTGGCTGAAATACTGTTTAAAGTATTTTGAACAAGTTATTGTCACCTCCATCTGTTCAATCGTTGTTGTTCTTCTTGAAATATTTATTGTTTGGGGTTGCTGTGGTAAACCTTGTATTCATATGTTAGGAATGGCGGCAAAAATCACGTATTAAAGTTGGGCCACTGCTGGTTAATTTGCGACATTTCCATCGAAACGGGTAGATACCTGTTGAGCCCCTTGAAAAGCATGGTAATAACATGACACATAAGTCATGATGGCACGCTCGTCCGGTTTAGGAGTGTTGATCAAATCTGTAATATTCATCCCAGTCAATAAGGAACAAGAAAGTTATTAATTATATGAACTCAATTATAGGCAAGTTCTGAGCTGTAGTTTTCGGCAGAAGTTTTGTAAATTCAGTGTGGAATAATCTGGTTCGACAATGACCACAGCAATAGTAGGTATATTATACATCCAGGGTGAGAATTGAGCTATTATATGGATATAATGTGCGAGCTATACTTATAATAGTATTTTCAGCCGAGGAAGATATAATATTTTTTCCACTACTAACACTGAAGAATCAACATCTTCTATCACTTCAGATCATAATTTCCATTGAAGGAGCAATGCTATTGACCGTGTATAGGTACATATCCAGCATTGTTCAGCACATTAGGTACTGAAATTTTGATATATCAAGTTTAGCCTAGGAGTTTGGTTGTCAAACAAACTGAAAGGAAATTCGACTTGGCTGTCAGAAAATTAAGCTGTATCAAATTTCCGGTTGAGATTGTGAATAAGTAGGTATAGTTTATCCAAAATCAATTGCAGATTCTCGTGCCGCACCTGCAGTGACTTCAAAGGAAACTTCAAACGAAACTTCAAACATGCCGATGCCGCACAGTGTGAGATATTCTGCAATTGATATTGGATATACTTTGAATATCTGACATAATAAACCCTTGGACAGTCATTGAATTTTCAAAACATTTGTCAATATTGAAAGTCATGACTATTTGAATTCTTGGTCTAATTCACACATGACAGTGACAGATCACGTATGATTTGTGTTGTGACAATAATGTGATTATTCCAAACATTTTTAATACTGCGAAATTTGCTTTCAACTGTGATGAGATTTATATTTCCAACTATATTTATTTTGGTTTCAAGAATGTAGCATTTTTCGTTGGTTGCATACGCATCGATATCTATGTGTATATATTGCATAATATCATTAACACTATCGACATTTTTTCTACCTTGGTGAAATTTCTTTACCAATTCATCATTATTTACCTATAGGTTCGAAAAGTGTTACTTCCTCGCATAATGGTGATTTCTCAAGTTAATGGTGGAAAAAATATTTAATTGAACACCTGATGAGCAATTATTAGAGAACGTAAACAATAAAACGTGACCCATAGCATCGGCAAATCTAATATGATTATGGAAGCAATCAAAAAATGATACTAAATATCAGATTTTTACAATACAGGGTGTCCCATGAGTCATGGATCAAAATAAGTGGGGTGGTAGAGGGGGTCATTTGCAATGAAACTAACTGTGTATGTGGTTATTGTTGATGGTTCAAAAGTTATTGAATTTTTCTGAAAAATCAACTGAATTAGATATTTCATTCAACAAAACTCAAGGAAATAGTTATTTGTTTAACTAGGCAGCTAAGGCAGTCAATCTACTTTGCTGCCAAGTTGAACATATAATTTTTTCTCCGATTGTTCATAATGATATAAGAGGATATTGTATTTGCAAATTATTACAATTTCCACAATCTCTTTATTTCTCCCGTAGTGTTCAATTAAAATAAAATTAGATAGAAATCGCAGTTGTTGGAATGGTTGGTTGCTATGGAAATATCCATAATAATTATAGTTTGACAATTCATAACATTTCTGACAGTTGTGCGAAAAAATATCGGTATATATAAATTATTATATAATGGACAGTGATAGCGATCTGGAAGTACTTACTCTTCCAGAAATGAGGAAGGTGGCAAAAAATAAAGAGTTGAATTTGTTGCCGGAGAAGTCTTGGATGAAATATGAAGGAAATTATAAACGATTTATGGATTATTAATTTTGCTGACACATATCAATCAGCAAAGTAACCACTTTGCTGCCTAGGCAGGAAAAGTAATACTTTGCTGATTGATATGTGTCAGCAAAATTAATATTTGCTGCCAATCGGAGAAAAACAACATTTTTCTTAATTGATAGGAAGTTAAACAAAGGCCATACGACATATACGGCTAGTTTAATCGAAAATGACCCCCTCTACCACCCCACTTCATTTGATCCATGACTTATGGGACACCCTGTATATCCATAGGAAAAGAAGAAATGAACACATATTTGTTCGAATTCTTAACAACATCATAGTTGTTGGTTCAGTTGACATACTATATATTATTACATATTTTAATACTGGAGTTGAACATCTCAGTTGAGCCCTTTCGCCCAGTCCGAGATAGTTGACCAAAGTATAGTGATATCATGATCCCAGGAACATTTGCTGTCACTTGTTTCTGACTGAAACTCCTGATGAAGATTGCAAAAGAATGAGATTTACAGAGAACTGCACAAAAAACGACCAGGACTGTAACTTTTGAATTATTCGAGATAGTGTTTCGGAAATTGGTGAGCAAATTGCTTATTAATTAACGACACAATTTTTGTTCTATCACTTCCGGTGTGAGAGGAAACGACACCAACTTCTGATTTTTAAATGAGACACCCTGTATTGTATTCCATAATCGGTTAGAGATTGTCATAACGAATTCATCGATACCGGGTTTGATAGGGTTATTTCAAACGATTACGCAGATATTCGCGTTCTAAGTTTCCATATGCTCAATGAATGTGACAGAGAAAGAAGTTTTGATATTGCAAAGTCACTCCCATTGAGCATATGAAAACTTCGAACGCGAATATCTTTGTAATTGTTTGAAATAACCCTATCAAACCCAGTATCGTTGAATTTGTCAAGATATTCCCTAACCGATTATGGAATACAATATATATATGTCCCATTTAAAAATCGAAAGTTGGGGTCGTTTCCGGTGAAACAGGAAGTGATAGAAAAAAATTGTTTCATCAATTAATGGGCACTTTGGTATACTTGCTACCCACCAATTTTCAAAACCCTACCTCGAATGAGCTGAGGCTCAAATCTTGAATCTACCACCCATAATTTTCAGTCTGTATTGAAATTTACAAGTTTCATGTATTCTCCATATAGAATTGATCAGAAACAGATGGAAATTGTGTGAAGTTTCTAAAATCTTAATTGTATTCTACTTTTCAATAATAAGCTTTCTTGGTTCCCTGCGAGGTTCCCTGGTATTTCAGTCCTCTACCTTGTAGCAATAATTACATTTTTATTGTTAGTGTAGAATGGTATTCGAATGATTCATTGTCCGATGGAATAGCTTCAGAAACATCTTCTAGGAGCAGAATTTCGAAGAACATTTTGAAACTACCAAAGATAAATCAAACATATCTTTGAAAAACACAGTAAGAAACAAGAGCTAGAGTGAAAAATTTCAAATTCAAAATCAGAAGAATCTCTTATGACACCTATATGGCTCTAATAGCATCAGTAACAACAAAGATATTGGTGAAAGCATGAAAATAACAAAGTTCCTTCACAAAAATCGTAATTTTCGTTGAAACCAAAATTTTTGACAGGTGACAGATTGCTTAAAAAGAGGTAGTTGGTTTTTATATCTTCTTGAGGTCTGCTACCACGATGGCATTCTAAATGTGCCATCAGTTTGAGGCTTCAATCACCATACAATTCACGCATAGTCGAAATAAAAATAGTCAACCAAACCAAGTTGCCTTAAGATCACCCACCGTCAGGATCCAACATCCTCGGAATGTCCAGATACTTCTCGGCCACGTCGAAGGCAGTGTTCAGATTCTCCAACGGATTGTCCTTGGACAACTTATTATAGTCGATCAGATCGGGCCGGTGGCGGTGGATGAGCGCGCAGAAGGCGAGTCCGTCCTTGAAGGACAAGTGGAAGTTCTGGACGTTGACGTTCTTGTAGGGCGCCGTCTTGCGTTGGCACCAGAGGAGCAGTCCTTCTTTGGCCGTCATCTCTTCCACGGAGATGTCCTGGATGGCGAAGCGCAGGATGATGGTCCAGATCATGCCCAAGGTCATCTTCAAGTTGCCGTCGACGATTTCTAAGAGGAACAAGGCGAGCTTTAATAACTAAATCTTCATATTTCACGGTTATGTGAAAGACTGGACTGGGCCACTGAGGAAAATTGTGCTATTAGAGTTTTTGCTGAGATATTTCTTGCTACCATTATTGATTGATTGATTGTCTTTATTACCCCAAGAAACATAGTTGTTTATAATAGGGATACATAAACATTATACAAATTATAATAAGATATAACAAGTTGAAAAAAAAAAAAAGCAAATAATCATGCAATTTCAACCTAGTATTTTATAAGTAGGTATTCAAATAAGAAATGGAATTATCAAAGTCTCTGAAGCAGATATTTTTTTAAGTTAATTTTGAATCTAGTTGCTTCCTGTATATTCCTCAAATGACTTGGTGATGAGTTGTATAGAACGATTCCTGTGTGAAAAATTGATTGTTCGCCAATATTTGACTTGAACGTATTTGCTATTAGTGAATTTGATTGTCTTGTTCCATGATTATGTAATGAATTGAATAGAAGCAGCACCTTGAAATCCTATGATAGCAATAACGACTTTGCGGAATGTGAATTTCCTGCCACAGGAAGGTATACTTTTGTCGCTATCAGGCAGCAACTCTGGGACAGCATGATTTTTTTATAATTGTCTAGTCGAACTACTACTAGTGATTCATATGCTTGTGACTGCGAGGTTCATCGCATAGAACTGCACTCACTACCAATAATACAACTGTCAGTCTGCCACGAAAATAATATTTGACGAAACTACTTGGGGTTATTCGGCGCCTACTTATCGTTATTCGATATTTTGCTGATCTCTACAGTGTCATTCATAAAGTCGGCATCATATTGGAAAAACTTTTATTAATGACTTATTTTGAAATTCGAGTAGGACGTTAAGTTTTGCTTCAAGAAAGATGAAAAATGGCCTACTCAATCGGGGTCACGTGACTTTCGCTACATGTCAAAAGTGCCATTTTTTCAAATTAATCGCTGAAAGTGGGCTCATTTGTTCGAATATCGAGAAAGTTTACTAGAAAAAGTTGTTTCCATTTAAATTTAACACATTTGACTCGGATTTTATCTTTCTATTACATTTTTTAGATTTCGATATTTTTTAAAATTTTTCAAAATTCCTGTAATATTGAGAAAATTGTAAATTCTATAAAACTACGTCATACCAGTAGCTTCATCATGCTACTTACTTTCAATCACTAATTATCACAAATTATCGACAAAAATGTGATTTTCTTCAGAAAATGATATTCTCCGCATCAAAATTCTGTTATGTTTGTCAAGCATTTAGAAACGAAATCCATTTAAATTTATTTTCTCAGTACTGAAAAGATCAGTTTGAATGAATTTCGTTTCTAAATGCTTGACGATATATCAACTTTGCATCAAACATAACAGAATTTGGAAGCGGGTATTATCATTATCTGAAGAAAATCATATTTCTGTCCAAAATCAGTGATAATAAGTAATTGAAAGTAAGTAGCATGAAAAAGCTACTGGTATGAAGTAGTTTCGTGGAATTAACAACTCTTCAAATATTACAGAAATTTCTCAAAATTAAAAAAAAATCGAAATCTCAAAATTGCAATAGAAAGATCAAATTCGAGAAGCATGTGTAAAATTGAAATAGAAACAACTTTTTCAAGTAAACTTTTTCGATATTCGAACAAATAAGCCTACTTTCAGCGATTAATTTGAAAAAATGTCACTTTTGAAGCAAAAATTAACGTCCAACTCGAATTGCAAAATAAGTCAATAATAAAAGTTTTTCCCATATGATGCCGACTTTATGAATGACACTGTATATAATCATTTGTCAGAAATCTCATTCACAGTTGGGCCAATGGTTTCAGAAAGTTTGAGAAAAAATCTTTTTTACATTAATTACTCGAAAACCTTTTGTTTTTCCTGAGGGTGCATGAATTAATTGATCTATTGAATTTCAAAGATCATTGGCCCGAAATTTTCTTTAGGAATCAATACATTGCTATTCATACCAAGTGGAAATCATGGGAAGTGAACTAGGATTTCAGTCAAAATTTTAACTCTCTTGATGACAACAATCCTGGAAAATAATTGAATAACTACAGCAAGAAGGTCATGCAACTATCTATATGATCACCCATCAAGAGTAGCAAAGTTCCCTACCTACGATTATAACATTGCCCTACTCCCATTATTAGATGCACTCACTAGCGGTAGCAAAGTCAGATACCTACTACAGAAACATCGTATAATAGCAATATACATGTGCACTCGCTAGTGGCAGCAAGGTTCTATATCTAATAATCGCAGGTGGGTTATAATCAGCAAAGTCGTATTTATAATCACAGGTGATGATAACTCGCTTGTCCCCTATGCTATCAGAGTTTCTTGCTGGGGTAATTCGATTTCTGACTATGGATAATAGGAATTTTCAATAGTTTGAAATGTCGTGTCAGCGCTGAGGAAAATTTCTATCAACCATAGTTAGAAATCGAATTATCCCAGATATTTTGAAATAAAATCTCGCAAACCAGCAATATTTTTATAAGGCATATTGGGCAGAATCTTCATATTTGGGTGTTCACTATCTGTAGTTCAGAGATTTTCCATTCTTAATTCAATAAATAAAATTATGAAAATGTCATGGGTGGAAAATTAATCTCTTCAAGAGCGAATAACACAATAACCGTTGAAGCTAGACAGTTTGATATGGAGTACATTTTTCATGTGAAATTGAACATGCTCTCAGATTTTCGACCTATTTTGATCATCAATGAATTGACATAGAAGATATGATGTAAATTATCGAAGTAACAGAGTGCCACTAGCGTTCTCTATGAGCAATCACAAAATAAATTGCAAATTCATATTCCTCATGTCAGGAAACCTAGATATACAAGATTTCATGTTTATGCTGTTCTAACAAAGTTATTGTGAAATTTTGAAAAAAAAATCTCTCCCTAGAACACCCTGTATTTCCTAAACCAGCAATATTCTTATGTGTTTACTATCTGTAGTTCAGAGATTTCTCATTCTTAATGAATCACCCTGTATATAGATATTAATAGAATAACCAGGAGAGTAGTTGTTTTCTGTTGGATATTGAGAATGATGTTATATGCATATACATATTTTCATTTGAAGGAGATTGCAAATTCTCAACTTTAGAAGATTTTGTTTTCAAATTCTTATCGTGTATGTTCAATAGATGTGATTCAATGGTCGTCGTGGCATATAGCCAGCAAAGTAGTTGGTTTCTGTTGAATAAACCGAGAAAAAATTGATATTTTTATCACATAGAGAATGCGAATTCTCAAAGTATGTGTTTATATACAGGGTGGCATTGAAATAAGTGCAAATATTTCAAACACTGAGAAAGCTCGACGTGTACTATCGAATGGCACTAATAAAACAAATTAGGGATCAAAATAAAATTTGAGGTTAGACCTCTTTTTCCACCCAAAGTTCTACACTGTAGCAAATCTGACGTCACCTCTGTTCAAATTTCCATGCGGTAATAACAATCACGCGGAGTTCAATCATTTAAATTGTTTTAAAGTGGCGTACTTGATTTTTTTCTCGTATTTTGTTCAATTTTTGGGATGAAATTTCTCGTTAATTAAGAGAATTAGAAAAAATCTGATATTATGGAAATATTCCTCAGAGTGTTTTATATTGATGTGCTGAATATGTGCGCTTATTTCAAAAACACCTTGTATATATCCATTTTTTCATGTTCATAATTTATGTGAGAATATTTCTTCTCAACCTTAAGTTTTGTTCCAACTGAGATGAAAAATAAAAACCTAAAACTTATGCAAACTTTGACCCACCATATAATGAAAACAAGTTTCTTCACGACAAAACAAAAAAAAATACGTATCTAATATTTTAAGTTTTACTTTCGATTGTCAAAGTTGGACGAGTAAAACCTGAGACACCCTGTATATTCCTCTCTTTCCTGCGCTACAAAGATATAGAGAAGAAAAACAAGAAAAAAATGTACAGGGTGGGCCAAATTGGACCCTTTCGAAGGAAAAGTCCTATCCTCGAACCAGATGGAAGAAAACTGATGTGGTGCCTGAGGCTTGATTCTCATGGAAAACTCAATGGTGAAATCCGCATATCGATATCTGTGTTCGTTTCGGAGTTACAAGGTATTTTTCGAAAATGGGCATTTTTGAAAAGTGGCTACAGATATTTTTTTGCTTTTGCAAAAAATTGTCTCTTCTCATGAAAATAACTGCAAAGCATTGATTTTGTGATAAAAATTGTCCTCTGGGCACTGGAATCGGCCTTCCTATATCTAGTTCATGAATATAACTCGTTCTTCTTGAAGGAAAAGTTCTATTTCGCAACTAGGTATACGGTGATTGATTTCATTGCCTGAGGATCAATTTTCATGACAAACACAATGCTTTGGAGATGTTTTCAGAAAAACGAAGAATTTTTGCAAAAAAAAAGAGTTTCAGCCACTTTTTAAAAATTCACATTTTCGAAAAACACCTTGTTACTCTGAAATAAAGATACATATCGATATGCGGTTTTCGCCTTTTAGTTTTTCATGTGAATTGATCAAGGGGCACCGACATCAGTTTTTTTCTATCTTGTACGTGAATATGACTTTCCCTTTAAAAGTGCCCAATTTTGCCCACCCTGTACCGTCGATTGACAAAGTTAGACGAGTTAAACAAAAAAAAAAAACGAGAAAAAAAGTACCTTCCGCCCCGATGGACACCAGCTTGACGCCCTTGCTGGCGATGTAGTCCAAGGCCTTGTTCACGTTGGCGATCTTGTGGAAGCGCATCTTGCCGCGGTCGGGCTTGGGCAGCGTCTCTCCGGAGATCACCTCGAGCAGCAGCATCAGCTTGAGGCCGTTGCGGAAGTCCTCCTCGATGTTGTCGATGCCGGTGCCTGCCTTCCTCAGGTGGCTGTTACACCACGCCGTGAACGTCTAGAAAAGGGTCGTTTATTTCATTGATGAAAATTCAAACCCGAAGAAAATGTGGGATACAATCAATTACTGTTTGAGAAATGAATCGAAAATGTCCGAAAAGGCAGATATCGAATATACAGTGTCACTCATAAAGTCGGCGTCATGTGGAAAAAACATTTAATAATAATTCATTTTGAAATTCGACTTGGGCAATGAGTTTTGCTCCAAAAAATATGAGAAATCGCCTACTCGGCCAGAGTCAAGTGACTTTCGCTACATGTCAAAAATTGATTTTTTTTCAAATTTATCGTTGAAATTACTGTTTTTTGTTCGAATTTCAAAAAAGTTCACAAGGAAAATTTGTTTCTGTTCAAAGGACCACGCACACATTATATGGGAAAAAGTCTTTCGGTGAAAATGGCTGGATTCTTGATGTTGTAGCTGAAGTCATTCTGAGTGAAAGACTCCATTGGCCCAACTCGATCGTATGACTAGATTCGGCGCGAGAGAGTGAAACAACATGAATTTCGTGTATTTTCGAGATTGCGGAGCTCAATGAATAATATGATTATCTCGTGATATGGATTAACCCCAAAATGAAGATCAGATATGCAATAGGGAGTTCTTGGGATTGGTTGAAGGTAAGTATAATTCAAGGGCACAGAGAAGATTTATTAAATTCATCAATGGCCATTGATCAGAACGAACGTTGACCGAAAAAAAATGAAGTATTTCCTCCAAAAGAAGAAAAAACATTTCAATATTGACCTACTTTTTTCCCTCTATATACTTCCTATAGTGCGCTCCAAGAGATAGAGAAAAAAAATCATTTGTGGTTCCATCAAATTACTGTAGATCGCAGGTACATACAGATTCGCTAAACATCAACTTGAAAATTTGGGTATCAGGTAACAGGTTGAAATGATGGATGGTTATCACTGCACATGCATCACGGTTCTAGTACTCTGGGATCATGTGCGCACGTAGCCAGTGTGCTGTGGTTCCTTGGGTAGGTATCACTCTGTATTATTAATGATTATATTTTCTGTTTTTTCGGACAACGTTCATTCTGATCAATTGTCATTGGTGATACGATCGAGTTGGGCCAATAGAGTCTTTCACTTAGAATGACTTCAGCTACAAAATATCAAAAATCCAGCCATTTTCACCGAAAGACATTTTCCCATATAATGTGTGCGTGGTCCTTTTACACATATGTCTCGAATAATTGTTGGCTCTTGATATTTTTTGATTTCTTATAATAATTGTAACTTCGACAAAACTGTCCTAAACTTTGGTTAGATACGTAAAGTAGCTTGATGATATTTTGATAGGTGACCTTGGCATCACCTTAGTACCAGAAAAATCCATTTGAATAAATTTCGCTCATGAATTCTGAAGAAAATCATATTTTTGTCGATGATTAGTGATTGAAAGTTAGTTGCATGATAAAGCTACTAGAATGAAAAGGAAAAAATATCAAAAACTAAAAGTTGTTATGGAACGTTCGAATTCGAGACACATATTCATGTAAAATCGGAATAGAAACACTTTTTCTTTGTAAACCTTCTTGAAATTCGAACAAATAAGTCAATTTTCAGCGATTTATTTGAAAAAATTGAACTTTTGACAAGTAGCGAAAGTCACGTGACCCCAACCGAGTAGTTCATTTTTCGTATTTTTCAAAGCAAAACTTAACGAACAAAACGTATTTCGAAATGAATTATTATTGAAAGTTTTTCCCATATGATGCCGACTTTATGAATGACACTGTAGAAATAACTGAGGCGATGAACTCACACTTTTCAAGTATTGGTGAAAATACTGCAAATGAAATGAAACAATTCTACAATTATACAGGGCTTTCATTTCAAAACTTACCACCCTGCATATCTTCTGATCTGCGAAGATTACAATTTTTTGCAAAAACAGGTCGATTTAGATATCGAGGGGGAAGTGAAATAACAGTATCAATTGAATGCTATGTCCCCTCAACCCCGAGACACACCAACTTTGAAATCTCAAATGGCACCCCCTACTTTGAGATACATAAAATTGCAGATCTATCATTGATCAAATCAACCAGGTGAAAGAATATTTATTTCGTATACCGGGTGAGTCATGAGGTACTGTACATACTCCTACCACGAACAGACGCCCCTGAGGAGAATATCGAATGGTCATCTGGAGTTCTCCTCCTCTTCTGCAATAATAAACAGGGTGATTCATAGGATTGAGCAAAAAATATTTTTGAAAAAAATTCAGGACCATACGTGTGAAATATTGCCAGCTATCAAATAGTTCACTCTGTGTATGGTTACAGTGAACAAAGACATCTTCTCTGTCAATCAGAACAAAATGTTTTGGTGCTTCATTCAGCTGAGAATAGTATACCCTACTAGTTCCTTTCAAAAACAACTAGAATGATTTATTTTGACGAATCGTGAAAATGGTAATAGATTCACAATCCTCACTACATTATTTAATTCTTCATGAGAATTAGGAAAGTGTTTGCAATTTGGGGCCAAAATATCTAAATGAAGTAACACATATTTCATACTATTTCTATGATAAATATTGATCGCTGTACCTTTATGTTAACATCATCTCTATCTAGTAACTCCAAAACATTATTCAATTTATAGTTGAACATTCCAGCACTTCTTGAATTTACATCAATATATGTTTCCATATATAACACGTCATCCATGTTTTCAATCACTATCAATATGGGAAATATCAATTTGGTAGGTAATTACTATGAACTCAGAAACTGTAGTTCTTGGAAATCACAATTTGATATTGTAAGTGGAATTATTTCAAAACTTTATGACATTAACTTACACAGTAAAAATAAAAATTTTGAAATGAAGAAAAAAAACTTCAACCAAAGAAATCCCACTCTCCTATATTCATGAAGAAATATTTCATCCAACTGAGAAATAATTTATCTCAGTTTGAAACTTGACTCTTTGCTTGAAACGATACAATATTACCTTCGTTTGACGCATCAGCTTCAAATTCTCCAAACAAAATTCACGAATGTATTGAAGAGAAATGCTAAAATGTATTCAGTGAAGAAATCAGCTATGATTATTCTAAATTAATTCAATCTCTGCTTGAGAAAATCAATAACAAGTACCCTCAACAAGAATATATGAATCTTCGTCGAATTCAGTGTATCGCTTACCTGGAGAGATCTGAATACTCATTTCAAGAAAAGCAATGCTCTTGTGTTGAAATCTGCTTCTATTTCCGTATGAAAATTTGCAATTTACTCCAGTTGAGAGATTTCATTGCCTCTATTCGAAACTGCTAAAATTTCTAATAAAATTAATCAGCAGCTTTACTAGATATCGAATCAAAATCACCTTATTCTCTTGGTTAAAAACTTATTTTCCCATGTTCTCAAATCATCGAGACACACCATCTGTTCATTCAAGACAAATCAGTTTTTGATCGAAGATTTGAACTAACTACTCGAGAATATGTGCTCTTTGCCTCTTGCTGCTCCCTTCTCATGTTTATCCTAGAGTTACTGGATGGTATTAGTTGATATAATACCATCCAGTGACTCTAGTATAATATCCAAATTAAATCACCTCTTCATAAGTTCAAATTGATATTTAGGTATACTCATCAATTTCAAATCCGGACTTGAAACACCCGAATTGGCATTCAAATTGAAAACACATTTAAATTAAGTAGGTATACTTATACAGTATACAGAGTATCTCCCTTTGGACGCCCGGCCTCCACTAAATCTTTGCTATACAGGTATGAATAATGATCATCAATATGTGTTTTTATTGAAATAAAAATGGGTCGATTGTTTATGAAATCATTTCAGGAAATTTTTTGCAGAAAAACTAACTATATAATTCTTCTTCATGCTTTTGAACCTACATAAAAATTACCCTATTCCGAAGTGATAGTATATAGACTTCATGTTCCTTATTTCCTGCCGACAACAGTAATGAATTCAATAATTTGAACTCTTAATTTTGAAACATTTGATAGCTCCGCCGGTACGTACACGGAAAAAAAGGATTTGTTGCATCAACAAATTATTTATGCTTGAGTCATTTTTGTTGGACTGAGCAATTTTTTGTTGAATCAACCAGATACATGATTATTTCATGAAAGCAGCTTGTTCAAATCAAGAATGTAGTCTAATTGAATCAACAGTATGATATCAATTCCATCAACAAAATATATGGTTTTATCAAAAACAAATTATGTTGATCCAAAATAATGTCGATTTTGATTCAATTATAAACATTTTGTTGATTTGATCAAATAACGATCATTTTGATGGAAATATATCTTTGGAACAACATACAAGTTTTCTTATTCCGATGTAGCAATGAACTTGTTTCGAACGGATCATTTGCTTGAATAGAGCAACGAAATATGTAATATCAATGAAATATTTTGTTCATTCTACATCAACTTGAATTTTCGCCTATAGATGGCGATCATTTCGCCTCGTCTATGCCTGATGCCTCGAATTCATTATATATACGTGAAGCCTGATTGTTCGTGTTTGAAATAACAACTAGATGAATCGAACTTCAGATGATTAGCAATCCTAAATAGTTTTCCATCAGCTGAAGAGAAATGAAGACTGATGATCTATGCTAAGAGTTGACTTGTTTCCTATTTTTGTTTATTCTATTGATGTGAAATTTGAGAAAATTTCCGAATATTGAATTTGGTTCAACAAAACAATTTGTCAAATGGATATATAGTTTCTCTTGAATCAACAAAATATTTCATTGAATTAACCAAATATTCTATTGAATCAAACAAATATTTCATTGAATCGACCAAATATTTCTTTGAATCAACCAAATATTTCGTTGAATCAACTAAATATTTCATTGAAGCAATATCTTATTATTTTGAATCAAACAAAATGATTGTTCAAGCCAATTCAATATCTCTTCAAAACCATTCATGGATGTGCTTGATTGAAGAAGAACCAGAGTTCATGCAAGACATATTTACTTGATTCA